TCCGTATATGGGATCCGAACCCGTCGCCTTGGTGTTATCAGCACCGCACTCTCCCGAGTGAGCCACGGGCCGGCCCTACCTTGGATAGTTTTAATTGTACATTCTTGGATACATAAATGATAAAACCTGTACTTCAGATACTTTGTCTTAGAACCTATTAAAGAAAGTTTTATTTATAAATAGAAATATGAGTTACTTCAAAATGTTCATGGAAAAATAGAATTAAAAGATAATACGAATCTTTCTATGAATTCTTTGAAGTACCCTTGTATATTCCCTATTCTTCTTTATGGGCAATAAAGATACAGTGTGGCTACCAGCAATGATTTCCACATGAATTCTAGTTTAAATACTATGCTGCCCCTTTCTTTCGTTCTTTCTTTTGTTCTTTCGTTCTTTCTTTCTTTGTTTCTTTCGTTCTTTGTTTCTTTGTTTCGTTTCTTTCTTTCTTATGTATTTATTAAATTTAATTTCATTTTTATTAGCATATTCATTATTATAAATCATACTTATTCTTTAGTTCTTTGTTTCTTTGTTTCTTTCTTTGTTTCGTTTCTTTCTTTCTTATGTATTTATTATTAAATTTAATTTCATTTTTATTAGCATATTCATTATTATAAATCATACTTATTCTTTAAGCCCCTTATCCAATCTCTCTCCTTCCCTCTCCCCCCTCTAATAACCATAGATTAGTTCTCTCCATCTGATTGATTAACTGTTCCTCTGTTGATTTGTTGCCTAGATGATCTGTCCAATACTGAGACAGGTGTGATCAAGTCCTTTTTAAAAAGTGACTTTTTAGAAATATTTTGTATTGTTTGTACTTATTTTTACTAAAATACTTGGAAGGATTAATAAAAATTCAGCATGAAAATTTTCACAGTGCAATTGCTTATATTTAACCCTTGCCCTTCTGTTACTGTCTGTGACATCGAACAAGTTTACCTTGTAAACTGTGCCTTCATTTCTTCAGTTGTAAAATGACATCATATGGTTGTTGTTAGAATTTAATGACACATATCAAGTACCTGACACACAACAGATGCCACTACTTTTTTTCTTGAATTGCAGAATAATGCAGATATTATTCTGTGAAAACAGAGACTTGAGAAGGATATAATAATTGTGTATTAAATGTAGTTCTGGAGTGATGGTATTAAAACTAAACATATTGAATAATAAGTATTTGTACTAAAATATACCAATGAAAATAATTGCAGGCCTTGACCATGTCAAACACTGGTCACACTAAAATATGTAGTTGGTTTCCCAAATTCAAAGCCACATAGTGGTTGCACAAGTTTCTCAAACTAGTAATCAGCCCATTAAATACAGTGTGTGTGACGTGCTACAGTAGAGGAGACCACAGGAAGCCATGGGAAAGCAGAGGAGTCTACAGGGAAAACTCAACACAGGCTGCACATTTAGGCATGTTATTTTAGAAGAAATGAAGATTAAACTATTGCTACTCAAACTGTGTGGCCTGCAGACCAGGGACATTACTGTCACTTGGGAGTCTGTTAGGCAGATTCTCAGGCCCCACTTTAACTTTAGTCAGAATGTTTAAGATCCCCAGACACACTAAAGTAGAAGAAGCACTCCTCTCAACCATTGTGAAGTGATAGTTTTAAACCTAGAAGATGTCTAGCCCTTTGGAGTGCCAAGATGAAGACACATGCAGATTAGAAGCACCACATTTTCCCTTTAGTTTCCTTGTGCCTGTTGTGATATTTCTGAAACTGTTACTAAACCGTTGCTAGCATCAACCATATATGTATTCTGAAATTATTGAAGGCTAAAACTATACATCTGTTTCTATAAATTTATAGTACCTTATTAAATCACGATCAGATCTAATTTCTTATTCTACCTGATGTTGAACTCAGTTTTGTACACAAAACTTTTTTTATGTAGAAAGAATTCTGTCATAGAAATGAGATGTCTGCTACTGTAGCCTAATGTACACTAGAGTGAGTACATTATTTATCAAAAAGACAAATGATACACTCTTATGTTTTCTGTTTTTCTTATTAGTTATCTTTCTGCTTTGTCTCCTCAGTGTTTTTACTTTCTCTAGATTAAACTCACTGTTTAATAACAACTTTGCTTTTGCGTACGTGTGTTGGGAGACGGTGGACTCAGGGTTGACTTAGGGTGTGGAGGTGTGAAGTTTGCCTGTGAGACACCAAACCTTCTCTGGCTGCTCCCAAAACTGAAAGTGTTTCTTGGACTGTAATAGTGATGCTGATCGTATTTACCAGCAGCAGTGGGGTTTGACTTTTAATAGAAGAGTTGCCCGTAAGAGCCTCTCCTCCACCTGCCACTACTGCTCTCATTTCCCTGCCCCCGCCCTCATAACACCTGTGTAACTTACTAGGTTGATAAATTTACCTGAGGAATTGGCCTTGAAGCAGAAAGAAGCTTAACACCAACTTTAAACAATTCTGGGGTTGGGCCAGCCCGGTGGCGCACTCCTACAGTGCGCCGCTTGGGAGTGCAGTGGCGCGCTCCCGCCGAGGGTTCGGATCCCACATACAGACCGGTTCCCGCTCACGGGCTGAGCGAGGTGCGGGCGCGGGCGCAACACCGAGGGTTGCGATCCGTTGCCGGACACGAAAAAAGACAAAAAGGGAGGAAAAAAACAATTCTGGGGTTAAATAATTATTCTTGGGATCTAATTCAATTTCTGCCAGGTAGTATTTTTAAAATTTCTGTAGGATTTGATAGCAAATTGGTTCTGTTTAGCTCTTTTTACAATTTACAGTCTCCTGATAGCTACATTTTGAAGTGTTTTGCTTTTAATTCAGTTTGGAGATAGTTTAAGAATAACAGAGCATTGGATAGTTTGGTAATTTTATTTTTATAAGCAGGCCCAGTGAGGTAGTGGCAGCTGGGGGCAGTGAAGTGCGCAGAAGTGAAAGCATCGGAGACAAACACGGAAGACAAAATTTTTTGAATTTACTGATGATTTGGATTGAAGGACTGGCAGGGGAGAGGAACAGCAGGCCCAGTGAGGTAGTGGCAGCTGGGGGCAGTGAAGTGCGCAGAAGTGAAAGCATCGGAGACAAACATGGAAGACAAAATTTTTTGAATTTACTGATGATTTGGATTGAAGGACTGGCAGGGGAGAGGAACGAAGGGCCAGAAGAGAGTGTGAAAGGAAAGAACAAATCCAGATAACGCCCAGTTTTCTGGCCAGAAGACTGGCTGCCATTTATAAGGATGGGGAAATCAAGGAGAAGAAACTGGTTAGATGTGGTGAACTTAACAAATTTTATGTGGCTAAATGGAAATGCTAAGAAGCGAGTTGAAAATCGCACCAATTTGGAGATCTCAGAACAGGGTAGAACTAGTAATGTGAGTGTGGGAGATAACATCTTCCTAGATGATGTTTAAAGCCGTCACTGTGAATAATGCCAGCTGGGATCTAGGCTTCAGCCCTGGGAAACACCAGGGTTTAAGAGAAGTCAGGTGGAGGAAGAACTTGCATAGACAGTGGAGGAATGTTAGCAGGGAGGTCAGTGAAACATCCACAGGTGTGCTATCACCAATCTAGTAGAGCTTCGTGCCAGATGTTAGGAACTTGAATAAAATGAGCACAGAGAAATGGCTTTGGGCAACACAGATGTTACCGAAGACCGTGAAGACCTGGACTGCTACAATGAGGAGGAAGACACGGGCAAGTCGATCTGATAGTGGGAAAGTGAGGTCATTCACTCGCAGTGGTTGCCATTCCAGTGAAATCAGCATAGCGTTAGCTGAGCTTGGGGAAAGCTAGGTTTGTGGGTCAGGGAGAAAACCTAAGACTAATCCTGGAGGGTGAAAAAAAAGTGTTTGCTCGAGAGAATGAGTTGGATTGGTGGGCTTCAAATGTGTGTGGTTTGAATTTATGAATTAAAAGGGAAACCAATTTCTCCCTTGTGTGGTTTTTCTAAAAATACTGTTATTCTGTTAACTATCTCCTCCCCCAAAGAGGAGTCAAGCTGTTATTTCTGATTAATTCCTGGTGGGATTTCTATGTAATTAATGGGATACTACTTGTTAGTTTGATAATATTCTTCAAACCTGGTAAGTATTGTGTACCTTGTCTTAAGTTTTGGTTATTTAATTGATAAAATTACAGCATGCATCGTTGAATTACCTAATTTAAAACAGGTTCTTTATTGTTTGACATTTGTTTTGAGTTTTTCTTTAAAAAGTTACCTTTGTGGAGTAAACATTTTTCTTTATGCTGCTTAGCATCTTCATCAGATTAGTTCAGATTATTGCTGAATGTGGTTATTTGGAAGTTTTATTTTAACTATTTTACTAAGACACTGTTTCCTGTATAATTTATCAAGTACTTTAGGCATTTTAATTTGCAAATTTAGGACAATTTGCTTTAACATTTCTTCACGTTTAAAATTAGTCCCTTGGATGTAATCTCCATAAAATATTAGTTCCCCCAAATCAAAATCAAAACCAAAACCCACAACTAATGGTCACTGAAAGAAAAAAGTGATTAAATGCAAAGGTTATCATGGTGTTTGCATCTTAAAGTTAAGTTACAAAGTAACTTCCCACAGTTTGTGTGCATCTTTTTTTTGCTCTTGTTTCTCATTACATTTTTTTTTGCCTACTGGTTTGGTTTATAGCAATAGGACATAACTTTTTTTTTAAGGTTATATCCCTTTCTCCTATTAGAGTGGGATTATCTTTAATTTTTTGGTGCTATAATTGCAGTTCGTGAGTCAACGTTGATGTCATACAAACCTTAATCTTAATATTTCTTTGTAGTGATGTTTCAACCAGAATAAAATATTTAATGTAACTTGTAGCTACAGACACTTAAGTATAAAGTCACTGTAAGTGATAAGCTTATTTTCCCTATGTTGAAGCAATTTGTCCTAAATTTCCATACGTTTGCTTTGTTTTTGCTGTTCTAAAATTCCTTAGTTGCTGGCTTTGACCTTTTATGTTGCTGAGTTTTATACATCTTTTTCTCACCTGCCATATCCTAGGGGGCTTGGAGTACCCATAATACAGTGAGCCCACCTTCCTGGTCCCCAGACATTTCAGAAGGTCGGGAAATTTTTAAACCCAGGCAGCTTCCTGGCAGTGCCATTTGGAGCATCAAAGTGGTAAATAAATTGCATTTACATTCATGTATCGTTTCTTTCTGTTTTGTTTTGTCCTACTGGATATTAAGAATTAAATCTTTCTTTTCTATATTCAGCTTCCAGAGCTACTATTTTAATCTAAAATTTTTAATGTAAGGAAACAGCATGCTTGCATTTAAATATGTGGATTTAGGAGGAAGTTAAATTGCAATTTTACAAGTGTAAATTTTTAATACCTCTTTTTATGGTTGATTCCTTTTGTTGTAATTACCAGAGTTGGTATGAGGGGGAAATTCTTGTCACATAGGCCGAAAGGTAACAAGGACTTGTTCATTTGTGATATAAGATTTTGTTGCTTAGAAAAGAACAAAAGAGAAACTCCATTAATCTATTATGTACAAATGGAGAAAAAATACCAGAATTGCAGCAGATTTCATTGTCTGTGTTAATAACCTCAAAATTGTAGGGTGTTTTTTTCCATGTTATTGGTGGATGACTCTGCTAGTCCTTGAAGTAGATTAAGTACTCTGATGCATGTTGAAGGGAAAAAAAATTAATTTGAAAAAGTGTTAATTATATCAAAATTTAAAATACTTTGACTAGAGAAGACATTTTTCTTCATCTTCTATATTTAATATAATTCTGGAATAAGGCTGTTTTAGATTAATCAAGTATTTCAGGGGTGTTCTAGATTGTACTTTCTTACTTATGTCATGCTTGGAAGAATAATTTTTCAGTTCACTTTGATATCATCCAAGGTATTGAGATATAAATATTTGTTTTCAGTATAAAAGATGACTTGATAGACGATTTTGTAGCAAATACCACCAATTTTCACTTATCTGTGTCATTGGATGTTGGGGAAGATAAACTGAGAGGTTACTATAGTCTTGATTTTTAATCACTGACTTAATTTTAAAAGAAAATTTTATATCTATTTAAAAACAAAAGAAACTGTCCAGCTCTACCGCATTCATACCTTGTTCAAAGAAACTGATGGACCTCTCAAGGGATCTGAAGGAGAGCAGGGTGAGAGAAGAAAAGGAGAGGCAATTTGAAAACTGGAAGCTGGCTTAATTAAAACTGAAGGGAAAAAAGGATTCCCCTTCCCTTTTGTTCATGTGTATCTGTTTTGTGCTCACAATAGAACCATACATTTTTGACTTAGAAACCATTCTGCTAAATAAGGAATGAGTTCAACATTTCAAACTATGGTAAGTGATATTAGTTGAAGATATGACATATTGTTTAACTTGTTAGGGGAAAAAATCAGAAAGGATTTTCCTGAGTGTTTTAATAATTTTAAGTATATATAATATGTCTACTTGTGTAGATGCCAGGTTTTTTTTTTTTCAGGGGTTAATACAAAAGTCTGAGTATAAACAAACAAACAAAACAAAAACAAATCCCTGTTACTTATGTCTTAAATATGTGTAAAGATTTGTATTGTCTTTTAATTCTATTTTTCCATGAACTTTTTGAAGTATCTTTGTATCAGGGGATTTACAGTGCTTTCCATAGGATTTTTCTCTTGTGTTGGGTAAAAAGTCAGATAAATTATTTCTATTTCAAATATTTATTGTCCAGAGATTCAAAACAAAGCTTTTACCCTCTTGTCAACTTTCCTAAAATCTTCAAATAATTTTTTTTCTCTAAATACTATGGTTGAATGAGGTAGACAGTTTCAGTTTATAAGACAGCTACTGAATAGTAGATAAAACTGACCTAATTTTAATGGCAGGAAGAATACTGTTGTGTACTAGTAAAAATTAACTTTCTTGCAATGTGGTAGTACAGAACAGTGGTTATAAACCAGGAACACTAGAGCCAGATTTGCTAGCTCAGTGACCTTGGACAAGGTACTTAACCTTTTTATCCCTCAATACACTTATTTACAGCATGGGTAATAAAATAGAGCCTACCTTGTGGGATTGTTGAGAGTTAAAAGTGCCTACATCAGTACATAGTAAGTCCTGGGTACGTGTTAGCTATTACTGTAGTCACTGAGACCTTTTACTGAGAGAGGTTTTCCTTGTGCTTACTCTGTATTGAATATAATTTTTGCACATTGAAATATCCGGAGTGGATCGTGGTTGTTCTAGCCACCTAAACATAGGATTAGAAAATGTAAAAATAACACCAAGGCCTGCTGATGGAGAGCATTCACAATGATAGACCCAAAGTTTGATTCTAATGTTGTAAGTATTCTGTATTTATATTTTTAAGCTGTGGAATTCATACTTAAAGATACCAATAATAAGCCCGGTTTCAAAGTTTATCATCTCATTAGACTAAAAGAGAGAAGCAAGTGCTCGTGTAACATTTAATAAAATGTTTTCTTTCACTGACATTTGGATTTAAAAAAATACTTTTGGGCTGTCACAGAATGTTGACTCTTCCTTATCTGTTGTATAGGGCCGTGGGTCTGGATTTCCGGGGAAGCGGAGACCTCGTGGTGCAGGACTCTCAGGACGTGGAGGCAGAGGAAGGTCAAAACTCAAAAGTGGAATTGGAGCTGTTGTGTTGCCTGGGGTGAGGCCTGCTTTGTTTATGTTTGCTATAATCTTTAATGTCAATTAATGGCGATAATCTTATTTGTAGCAAGTTATTTGGATCCTAACAGTCATGTAAATAGGCAAAATTATTTATTTTATTTTACTCTATCTTTACTTTACATTTTTTAACCTCTATCAGTTTTTCTTTTATATTTTCTGCTTTCTCATCCTTTCTCTCTTTTCTTATCCTCTTCTTGTACTCTATTTTTCTGTGACAACCGTCCCCCAAAAGCCAATGTGTAATATATTTGAAAAAAGCAAACAAACTCTTGTTACATTCTTGGTTCTACTATATTTGAAAATTAGGTTGGCGTTGAAAGGTTTTGATTACAGTTGCTGTCACTGTGGTAATACGGCTTACAGAAGAAACTAGAAATATTACAGATTACTGTGGACTCTGAACATGTTGAAGATTTTATGACCGTCTTTGACATATTTTAACCTTTTAATAAAATGTGAACAGTCTTGAATATATACAATACTGAAAATATAATATTGTGCATATTGTAAACAGGTGATGGAGATAAGTCTTGCTGAAGGATTATTTAAGACTATTTTTTGTAATAAAAATGAATTTTATCTTATTATTTTTTATTGAAACATAATTGATTGTTCATATCTGAGGAGTACAGTGTTGAATATCAATACCTGTGTGTGATATGTGATGCCAAATCAGGATAATTAGTATATTTATCATTATGCAATATATATATTTTTTAATTTTATCGTTATACAATGTAAACATTTTTGTGGCCCTTTACCAGTTTTTCCTTAGCCTCCCTTCCCCCACAATATTTTAATTTAAGATTGATAAATATTTGCTCATTGGCACATTACGAGGCTTTATTGAAGGGCGTATTGAAAAATATATTTGGTAACTGTTGACACATATTTTATGTAGTAACTTCATATTTAACTTAAATCCTGTTTTTCAGATTCTAAATGTCATTTTAAGTTCAGGAGACAGGTGAAATTATTCAATTTTACTACCAAATTTAGGAGTAAAGAAATTCTGGTCCTTTTTTAAAAAGCAAATTAAAAAATCAAGGTATAGTTGATATAATTTAAGCTACAGATATTTACTGTGTACATTTTTGTAAGTTGTAACGTGTATACCTTTGAAGACCATACCACAACATGACAGTGAATATATTCATCCCCCCAAATTTCTTCATGCTCCTCTGTAATCTCTCTGCCCTCCCCCCAGCACCAGTCCTTGTCCCTAAGCAGTGACTGATCTGATTTCTCTCACTGTAAATTACTTTGCATTTTCTAGGGTTGGATATAAGTGGAATCACACAGAATGTACACATTTCATTCTGATTTATTTCATTCAGCATAATTATTTTGAGATTCATCCATGCTGTTGCATGTGTTAATAGTTTATTACTTTTTGTTGCTGAATAGTATTCAAACTGTGGATGCACCACAGTTTGTATATCTGCTCACCTACTGGAGGACATTATTGTTCTCAAATTTCTTGGCAGTTAGAAATAAAGCTGCTACGAACTGTGTGTGTAGATCTTTATATGGACATTGCTTTCTTTTTTCTTGGGTAGATATCTAGGAGTGGAATGGCTGGATATGGTAGGTGTATACTTAGCTTTTTAGGAAAAGGCTGTTCACTATTTTCACACCCAGTTCACCTACACTAGGTATGCTCATTCTTCTTAATTTTAGCCATTCTAATAGGTATGTAATAGTATCTTATTTGCATTCTGTAATGACTGATGATATCAGCTTTTTAGGTGCTTATTTGTTGTCCGTGTATCTTCTTTGATAAAGTCACTCTTCAAATCCTCAGCCCATTTAAAAAATTTGGGTAGTTTTTTAACTTACTGAATTTTGGGAGTCCTTTATGTATTTTGGACACAAGTTCTTTATCATTTATATGATCTACAAATATTTTCTAACATTCTATGTCTTTTCATTTTCTTAACTGTGCTTTTCTAAGAACAGATGTTTTAATTTTGATGAAGTCCAGTTTATTAATTTTTTCTTCTATGGGAATATTTGTATTTGTATAACCTAAGATCACATTTATGTTCTGTATTTTCTTCCAGATGTTTTATGGCTTTAGGTTTTATATTAAGATCTGTGATCCAATTTTAATTTGACTGTTCTTGTGTATATGAACGTAGATCTATGAATGTAGATTGAAGTTCTTTTTTTGTTTTGCTTATTGACTATCCAGTTGTTTTGGCACATTTCTCTGAACTGCCTTTATATCATTCTTGAAAATTAGTTTTCTGTATACATGTGGATCTATTTTTAGCATTTTTATGCTGTATCATTATCAGTTTCTGTCTTTAGGCCAATACTGCACTATCTTGCACTACTTTATAATGACTCTTGAAATCGGACACTGTTAGTCTTCTATTTTTCTGCTTTTTAAAAATTGTTTTGGCTATTCTAGGTCCTTCATGTTTCTATATGAATTTTAGAATTAGCTTATCAATTTCTACAAAATAAGCCTTCTAGGATTTTGATTGGGTTTACATTCAAATATAGATAATCTGGAGAAAAATGACGTTTTAACCACATTGAGTCTTTTAACCCATGAACATGGTGTATGTTTCTCTCCATTTCTTAGGTCATCTTTAACTTCTCTCAGTGATGTTCTGTTTCAACATTTTTCTGATGTTCTGTTTCACATATTTTCTCAGATCTATCCATAACTCTTCCATATATTTATGCTACTGTAATGGTCATGTAGTCTTTATTTCAAATTGTTATTGTTGCTAATATATAGAAATACTACTCATTTTTATATATTGACCTTGTATTATCCCACAACCTTACTAAGCTCTATTACTAATTCTAGTTGCTTTTTTGGTAAAATCCATTGCATTTTCTGCATATGCAACCTTGTTGTCTCCAGATAAAGTTTTATGTCTTTCCAATTTGGAGGCCTTTTTTTTCTGTTCATTCTTTACTGCATTTGTTATAACCTCCAATACAGTGTTGAATAGAAGTGATGAGATCAGACAACATTGTCTTGTTTTAAATCTTAGATAGAAAGCATTTAGCCTTTCATCATTAAGTATTGTGTCAGCTTTAGTTTTTTTTTGTTTTTATTTTTATTTTTTTCAATGGATGTCCTAAATCAGTTTGAGGAAGCTCCTCTCATAATTTTCTGAGTGTTTTTTTGTTTTCTGTTTTGTTTTGTTTTTAATTAGGAGTGGCTGTTGCATTTGTCAAATGCTTTTTTTTTTTGCATCTATAGAGATAATCACAATCTTTTTTGTTTTTAAAATTTTTTTTCCAGTTTTACTGAGGTATAATTGACAACTAAAAATTATATATATTTAAGGTATACAGCATAATGTTTTGATATATAAATACTTACACACACACTGTGAAATGATCACCACAGTTAAGCTAATTAACATATTATCACCTCACATATTTATTTGTGTTTTTGATAAGAACATATTTAAGATCTACTGTCTTAGCAAATTTGAAATATATAATGCTTTGTTGATATGGTGAATTACATTTTTATGCTAAAGTAATCTTGTGTTCCCGGAATAAATTTCACATGGTCCTGGTGCTTTATCTTTTTTGTATATTGTTGGATGAAATTTAGTATCGGCATAATGCTGGCTTCATAGACTAAACTGGGAAGTATATTCTCCTCTTCAATTTTCTGGAAAAGTTGTATAGTATTAGAAATTTTTCTTATATTATTCATAGAATTTAATAGAAGCCATATTGGCCTGGAGTTTTCTATGTGGAACATTTTATAACTATAAATTTAATTTTTTTGATAGGTATCTGTTTAGGTTATCCGTTCCTGAATAAATCTGTGTCTTTCAAGGAATTTGTCCATTTTGTCTAAGTTGACACATTTATGGGTATAGAGTTGCGATTGTATTATTTCTTAATTATCCTTTTAATACCTGTAGAATCTGTAGTGATGTCACCTTTCTCATTCCTGATATTGGTAATTTGTGTTTTCTCTTTTTTTCCTGATCAGTCTTACTAGAAATGTATTGGTTTTATTGATCTTCTTGATTCAGCCTTTGCTTTCATTGATTTTTTCTTTTTTCTTTTTTTTTTTTTTCTATTTTCTGTTTTACCAATATCTACTCTGGTCTTCATTATTTCCTTTCCTCTCACTTCGAGTTTAATTTGCTCTTTTTTTGTTTGGTCTTAAATGTTTCTACTTGGAAATTTCTATTTTCTGTTTTACCAATATCTACTCTGGTCTTCATTATTTCCTTTGCTCTCACTTCGAGTTTAATTTGCTCTTTTTTTGTTTGGTCTTAAATGTTTCTACTTGGAAATCCCCAACTTGTAAGTTTTAGTTCAGAACTTTCTTTTCTCTTAGCCTATCACCTTCTGGACAAATCAGACTAAAGTCTATGCAGGCAATAACAGCACATATTTTCTCAAATATTGCCGTCTTCACCTTTGGGGTAGGTTTCATTTTTCTAGCAGTCTAAAGGTTATGAAATAAATTCTAAAATGAAAACAATGGGTCATCAAGCTAGATGATATTGTTTACTTTCTTACATGTATAGTTATTATTTTAAAAGATCTTGATTTTTTTTTTTAAGCACTTATTATTTAAATACACTTCCCCTACAAGCCACTCCATTTGAATCTAGGAGATATTTCAGTTTTTAACTGCAGACTTTGTTTCTGGCTTATACAAGGAATATCATATATTCCATCCTTGTTTGTCATTCTTAACAAAAGCATTCTCTGGTTAAATATTTTTTCAAAAACAGGAATAATGGTTTTATGATTTCTTTGAGCTACTTTAAAAAAATCTGAGTTTTCTGTTGGGAATGGGGAGGTAGAAATGGATACTTTTTATTTCAGCATATATTTGTTTATCTACATTTTAGCCATTTTCATAATTACATATTTCAGTAATCGTCTCAAAGTATCATTAGTCCTGTAGTTGAATTACTGGTTACTTCACTCTTAATAGGCACTTAATAGATATTAATGATAGAATGATTATTCTCCTTTTGTAAATCATCTTGGCAGATTCCCTAAAATCTTAAGAAGATAATTTTGAGGTACATATACGATACCTGAATACATTTTCTCTATTAAAAAAAAATAAAGCATTATAGGTAGATTAGAGTTCACCTCCACTGCCTCCTCAGTTCTTATTTTTTCCCTCTTAACAGCATTTACATATTAGGTTGCTTCATATGAAATTGTCAACATTCAACCATTTTTGTTCTGCAAAAATAATAGTTTCTTATGATTCCAGCTGTTAAATGTGCCAGAAGACTGCAGATAATGGCTTTTCATGTTTTTACACCATAGTGCTGTACCTCACATGCTATTCTTAAGCTTATTTTTCCACTCAGCAATGTGTCTTGGTAGTTTTTTTGCATGGAAGTCCATACAGATTTCTACCTCCCTGTTTTTTAAATGGTGCATAATTTTCCAAAGTTTGGATTTGATATAGCTTTAGTCGTTCCCTAGTGATGAAAATTTAGGTTGCTTACAGTTTTTCGTTGTAGTTGTTAGAGTTTTTATGATTGTAAATTGCTCTTATTTTTGAATCTATCATAAAATACTAGTACTGTCCATTAAAACTGCTTTTTAATGTGTTTATTTTGAAAGATATTACTGTAATATATTCCTCTATTTAGTTAATCTTTCCATCATTCCTCAAGAAAACTAATTCTATTTATGTTTTGACCTTGATCTTAACCTGTTGTGTTTCAGCTCTGTCTTTCCAGGCTAGCTTGTAAGCTTTTTAAGGGAAGAGGATTTCACTTTATGACTTAGGCTTTGGCCTCCTTGTTCTCTTTTACAGTATCTAATTCAGAGCTTTTTTTTTGTGATAAGCACTCTGGAAATTATTAACAAGCCAGTGGGTACTTAGTTGATTTGGCCAAATATAACCAAGTCCAGAAATGAACATCTGTGGTTGATAATCTTTTAGTTAATACTGAAATTTTAATAAGTTATCAAAATAATATTCTAAAGCAGTGCTATTCAATGGAAATGTAATATGCGCCACATATGTAATTTGTAACTTCCTGGTAGCCACATCAAAAAAGTTAATGATGAACGGGTGAAATTAATTTTAATGCCTGTCATTTAAATGACATATCCAAAATATTACCATTTCAACTAGTAATATATACAAAACTATTAATGAGCCATTTTTACATTCTTTTTTGTTTGATACCAAGTCTTTGAAAACTTGTGTGTTTTATGCTTGTAGCACTCTCAATTTGTACTAGGCACATTGCATGTCTTGAGTGTCACTAAAGTAGTGATACATTATGTATGCATGTGTGTATACAAATATGATATTATAATTGTATAGTTTCTTGATTAGAATTTTTGGGTTATCAAGTTCTACTAAAGGCAGGTTTATATTTTCTCATTACTTCCTGATCTGTAGGACTTGTAACTCTAAAGAGACAATTAGGTGACTAAAAAAATATCTACTCAGAGTTTTATGGTAGTATCTTGGCATTAATAATATAATTTGGAATTGTTAGTTTAGACCTCGGCAAAAGTTGTATTTTATTTTATTTTTTTAAAAGTTGTATTTTAAATATTAATTTTCTAAAGCTTTCTAGTTAAGTGTGATACAAGTGAAAAATATAACAATGTTTTGTTTACTTTGCTTTTTATAGGTGTCTGCTGCAGATATTTCATCAAATAAGGATGAAGAAGAAAACTCTATGCACAACACAGTTGTGTTGTTTTCTAGTAGTGACAAGTTCACCTTGCATCAGGTTTGAACTTAATTATTTACTGTCTTCCACTTTTGGATTTCTTCTTGCCGATTTCTACTTTATCCCATATACGCAGAAGTCATCTGCTATTTAGCTATAGAACTATATTAGTTAAGCAGGTTATTTTTAAAATAAAAAGTGTATATTCTTATCTCAATCTTCAATTTAAAATTTGGTCATGTGTTCCTAATTTCAGGATATGTGTGTAGTTTGTGGCAGTTTTGGCCAAGGAGCAGAAGGAAGATTACTTGCCTGTTCTCAGTGTGGCCAGTGTTACCATCCATACTGTGTCAGTATTAAGGTAAACACACTTAAATTGAGTTAACAAAAATGTATTGAATTTTTATTTGAGTAGTAACGTGCCGCTTCCACTTCTTAAAATTAATTATTTATGATTATTGTATGTATGCAACAATATTTAATTACTTTAAATATTGCTTTTAAGTGTTTGTTACTTCAAGAAATTTAATTCTAAATCTGGAGTGGTCCTAAATTGTACTAATTATCTTGCCATTGTCTTGGGGAAAAAAAAAAAACATAAAAATGCATGCATTTAATTTAAAAGACAATTTGTACTGTTATTTGTTGAAACATTAGGTTTAGTTGATTCATTTGTCTATTGATTACAGAAGTTAAGAACAACTAGGGTACCTAGTAAAAATTCATTAGCTCTCCCGGTCTCTCCTTCATTCACTCTCCTTAACCCTCACCCGTATACAAAAGGACATTTTCATCTCATAGCTGAAAACAAACAAACAAACAAACAATATGGCAAGTGTCATATTTAATGAAATTCAGTAATAATCAAGAGCCAGCAAGACTCAGTTTCAAGCATTTCCAGTAAGAGACTTACTGGAGAAGAGCCTTTTAAATGGTAATCATGTGCTTGGTTGTAAAGGTATTTAAATGTGGACGTGTCTCAATCAGTACTTCAACCACTGAACTAAGGTTCTTTTTCTTTCACCCCCTAAGAATTCAGTCTTAAAACTTGTATATTTGAATAAAATTACAAATGGTCACTGGAAGTAAGCATGGAGGTATAGCTGCACAGTAGGTGTCCTGCCGTATACCTCTTTTCTAGTACTGCCGTAATGCGTGACACAAGTACTAACTTCAGCTTCTGTGGTCATGAATCATCCTGAACTTATGAGTGCTTTTTATCCTTTTCTCCCATGCTCTTCAAACACCACCGTGTTATATCATTGATTTTCCGAGATGTCAGTAGAGGAAGCAATGAACATGTATCCACCTGGGAATTCTTTGCTGATAACTAAAGAAATACTAGTGTAGTATTTCTTTTCTATGGTAACATAGGTTTTCATGAGTTTAGCAAACAAAGTGAAAAACTGTAATCTATCCAAAACAGACTACTACAGTTAACTTATATAGTCTTTTAAAATTAGTTGCTCACATTTATGTTGACTAAAAAAAGACACATTATGTAAAGCCAATTTAAAAAATAGAATTATATATGCATAGAGAACAAACAAGTTTCTTCTTTGTCTCTTTATATTTTAAATTCTTTTTTTTTTTTTCCCTTTTGTCTTTTTTACTGACCGGTAACGGGATCGCAACCCTTGGTGTCGCGCCCGTACTGGGGACCGGCAATAGGATCGCAACCCTCGGTGTTGCGCCCGCACCGCGCTCAGCCAGTGAGCGGGAACCGGTCTCCACATGGGATCCGAACCCTCAGCGGGAGCGCAAGCGGCACACTCTCCAGTGCGCCACCGGGCCAGCCCGTATATTTTAAATTTTTTTATGTTTTATTGCTGTTTTCATTAGAATACTTATGTTGTTTTCAGAATACTTATATTTCTGATCTAAGGAAATTGAATAAGAATGTAACTGCTGTAAGTGGAACTGATACCTTAATATGACCACTTCCCTTGCCTAAAATTAGAATGGGTTTTAGGAGGGAAGTTAAGATTTAAGGGCTTATGCTCAGAACTTTTGTGTATTTCTTTTAACCTGTCCAGCAATTACTTAATTCCCATTTTACAGGTAAGCTGAGTGAAGTTTTTATAAGTTAATATCAGGCAATTAGTACACTGTCAAACAGCTAGTTACTGGCAGAGTAGAATTTAAATCCATGTTATACTACTAACACTATTTTGGACAGTATAGAATATTACAACCTCATTTATTGAGAAATACAGGAATATCCAGAAATATGGTAGGGATATGTAAATTGTCTTGGCTTGAGTTGTTTTTGTGGTAAGCAATTGTTTATGGAAGAGTTTGATCCTTTTCAAGCTTGTTTTTAAGCTTTCTGGTGGTAAGTCTAAAGTGCTTTCACTCTGACGTGGATATTCTCAGACTTCTTGGTCTTAGAAACCTTAACACTCCTAAAATTATTGAGGACTCCATAGAGTTTTTGCTTCTGAGGATTGTAACTTGAATATTTACCATTTTAGAAATTAAAACTGGCATCATTTTATAACACAAGAATATAGACACCCAACTTGTATGATGTCAATGTTATAATGTTATTATACATCATGTAGCCTTTCCAAAACACCACTGTAAAACTGGGAGTGAATTAAAAAGAAAAAGACAAATTCCATCTATTATTACTATGGAAATTGTTTAGACCTCACAGACACACTAGGGTTCCCTAGACTGCCCTTTCGTATTTGCTGTTCTAGCACTAGTTTAAATCTATACTTAAGGCGCAGCCTTTCTGGGGTCTCTGCTGAATCCCACCCCTATTCATCAGTGTCTTTACTCTCAGACTGGTTGGGACTCACATGTCTTAAATCCTTGTGCGAGTTCTGGTAATTGTTCAGCTTACAACTTCGCAGTAGGTGTTCCTTCCCCTGGTTGCGGGTTCTTGTTTGGCCTTGTAGATGTGTAGCTTGGTGTTCAGCCAAAGACTTCAGGGGAATCCAGTATAGATTTCTAGAGCTCTTACCTTTTATTGCTTCTTCCTTTCTGGCACTCTGTCCTGCAAATTTCTGCTGCTCAGTGAGACTATTGTACTCTGCTCAGGTTCTCCCTCTCTGGGTGGCATTCTGGAAGATGTGTACATGCAGAACATCATCGGACTCACCTTGTGTGTTTTCCTCCTCCCAGAGACTTCAGTCCTGACCTATGTGTTGTCCAATATCTGAAAACAACTGTTTCATACATTTTGCCTAGTTTTCTAGTATCATGATAGGAGAAAGGTTCCAGTTACTCTATCAGAGTTGAAGCAGAAATCCATTCTAGACCATAAAACACATCTTTACAATTTTGGATATGGTTCCATGGATGGAACCCAAGATAACACCCTATTTGAACAACTAAATGAAGACTAAACCAGTTTGGTAGGACAAAAATGAATTGATAGTAGAAGCCCTAATATCTGGGGTAAGAGGGAATTTCAAAGGGGTAGAAGTTGTTCAAGTGTTGAGTACTACATAGAGGTAAAGTAACACAAACCCTAACATGTCAGTTAGAGTTGGGAGTCACAAAGTCTTGACTGACTGACCCAACCAGTTTCAGTGGATATGGGGCATAGAAACCAGAATGCAGTGTGTTGAAGAGTGAATCTAAACCAAGTAACTTGAAAGTTTGGCTTTAAAGGACCACAGGATAGGTATCTGTGAAATAAGAAAACATTGTGGAGTGAAGATAAATAATTTTAAAATTCTGCCACTAAGTACCTTATATCTGTCTCTCACTTTATCTTCAGATCATCTTACTTTTCTTCTTAAGCCAGGGATTGTCAAACAATGGCCCAGGCCAAAGATGGCCTGTTTTTGCAAATATACTTCTATGGGAACATAGCCCTGCTGTCTTTATTTACATATGTCTGCAGTGGCTTCTGCCCTACAATGGCAGAGTTATGTAGGTGCAATAGACCATATGACCTGTAAAACTTAGAATATTTACTATCTGGCCCTTTACAGAAAAAGTTTGCTGGGTGCTGCTCTAAGCCACCCTGTTCTTTCTTCCCTAGGCCTTTTATTCCATTTGGATGAATAATATAACTGGGTAATCTGAGACTAATTTTTAAAAATCAATAGGCTAATGAAAGTAATAAAAATAACATGTTTAAAAATCAAACAACATTAAAAGCCTTATAATGAACAACCAATCCCTGTGGTGTTCTACCTCCACATCTGAGGAAACCACTCTTAATTCTTTCAGGTCTGTCTTCTTGTAGTTAATTCCATAGCTCTAAATAATAAGCCGGTGCTACTGCTTTGTAAATGTTAGATTTTGTTGACTTCCTGCTATGAATAAATAAACTCTGACTTAAGTACATCCTTCTTAAAATACACCCCCTGCCTTCTCCCAGCATCCTCCGATTACAGTTGTCTTAGTACATTTAGTTAAATTAATAAAATATTGGTTATGACTCAGTAAATGTCCGGTGCAGATCTAAATGGTGCACTATGGGTTTCTTTTGTTTCACGTGGAGGTTTTAATAGCAAGAAGAAAATAATCATTAGTGACTCTCCACTTATTTTGTTTTGCTTTTACCTGCGGAAGAAGCACTATAATGTCAGATTATTTTGTCAAGTACCTTTCTTCTGTGAAGAGTCCTACCCTCTACCTGGACTTCCCATTTCCCGGCTCTAATTTGTAAGCCAGCAGCTTCTAGGTGTGTTACTCCTATTTTATCCTTCAGCTTCCCAGGACTGATGTCCTTTGTTGGATCCATTGCTTTCTGGATCCCACGTCTTCCTTTTCTTGATTTACATCCTCATTCTCGTCCACACATCTCTAAGTAACTTTTTTACAAGGAGTATGTGGGAGCTGAATTTTGAGTCCTTGTTTGTCTGAAAGGTATTCTACCATCACACTTAATTGCTTGTTTAGCTATGTTAAGAACTGTATTTTGAAAAGTATTTTCCTATAGATTTGGAAACTATTATTCTATTCTAGCATCCAGTTGGGAAGTTTGATGTCAGTCTGACAGTTCCTTTGAATTTAACTCTGTTTTCCTCTCTGGTAGCTTTTAGGCTTTCTTATTCCTCATGGTGCATTTTTTTTTTTTGGCCTGGTAAGGGGATCACAACCCTTGGGCAAGGTGTTGTCTTTGCCATGCTTTGCCACTGAGTGCACCGGCCATTCCTGTATAGGATCCGAACCCGTGGCCTCGGCGCTACCAGCGCCACACTCTCCCGAGTGAGCCATGGGGCCGGCTCCATGGTGCGATTTTTTATTCTGTACCCTGATTGCTTGCTGTTTTGTTATAATGCAGGCACTTTGTGGTCTTTTCTATCTGTAGACTCTAGTCTTTGAGATTTAGGTTTCATGGTGTGGAGCCAGCATGGAATGTTAATATTACACAATGTGGCTTATTTGAGGAGTTTATCAGGAATATAGAGATTCTCAGATTTTCTCCTAACTTAGACCCTTGCAATGGGCAAGGTGTTGTCTGCACCATGCTTTGCCACTGAGTGCACCGGCCATTCCTGTATAGGATCCGAACCCGTGGCCTCGGCGCTACCAGCGCCACACTCTCCCAAGTGAGCCATGGGGCCGGCTCCATGGTGCGATTTTTTATTCTGTACCCTGATTTCTTGCTGTTTTGTTATAATGCAGGCACTTTGTGGTCTTTTCTATCTGTAGACTCTAGTCTTTGAGATTTAGGTTTCATGGTGTGGAGCCAGCATGGAATGTTAATATTACACAATGTGGCTTATTTGAGGAGTTTATCAGGAATATAGAGATTCTCAGATTTTCTCCTAACTTAGACCCTTGCAATATAGGAGAATAAATAGAGAAGTAGATGTAATGGTCAGGAGTCCTAGCTTCATAACCTAAAAATCCTCCATGATCATAAATCATCCCTGAGAACTGATGTTTTACCTTAACTTTTTGGTATTTTTTCCTACTGATTTTAGTAAGTCCCTGTGTCATGAACACAAGTTTCAAAAGTACAGAATTCACGGAAATGCTATATGTAGATGGGAACTTCACTGGTGTATTTTCAAATCCTATATCAACAGTGAAGAGGCAGCTTACTTGATCTCTTTAAAATCCAGTCGCCATATCTGTAAATATAGTGGACATTAAATCTATAGCACAAGTCAGTTATGTGAACTAAAAAGGCATTAAAGTATGTGCCTCTTTCTGTTTTTCTGGTCAGTAGGTGGGCTCCCAAAAGTATACAAATATGCCCAACCCAGTATTGGCTCAGTAAATGTCAGTTACTTGCCTCTTGTCTGCTTCTAGGTACATAAGCACCATATTAAGTATATAGTATATTTGATTATGCAAAATGAGGCTTAGGTTAATGTATAAATCACATGGATTGGTTGTTTCTTTTGCAGATCACTAAAGTGGTTCTAAGCAAAGGTTGGAGGTGTCTTGAGTGCACTGTGTGTGAGGCCTGTGGGAAGGCGACTGACCCAGGAAGACTCCTGCTGTGTGATGATTGTGACATAAGTTATCACACCTACTGCCTAGACCCTCCATTGCAGACAGTGCCCAAAGGAGGCTGGAAGTGCAAATGGTACTTTAGGATTTACGTTTCCCTTATCAGTCCTTCAAGCTCAGAACTCTCTCTTACCACTTTAGTCTTAAAAAATTAGCCACATCTGTTTAATTGCATAATTCACATTTACTGTGATAGATATCACAAATCAGAAAAATTTTCACATTTGTATTAAATGATTTCTCCCTATTCTGTTTATATGTAGCTTCCTGAATTTCAGTAACTAAAAAAGTAAATAAAATTGAGAATTTTTGGGGGGGGTTTGGATTTCAGGTGTGTGTGGTGCAGACACTGTGGCGCAACATCTGCAGGTCTGAGATGCGAATGGCAAAACAATTACACACAGTGTGCTCCTTGTGCAAGCTTGTCTTCCTGCCCGGTCTGCTATCGAAACTATAGAGAAGACGACCTTATTCTGCAATGTAGACAATGTGATAGGTATTGTGTTGTTTTTTCATCTTTTGCAAGCTTTTCTCTCTCAAATGTAGTGAAAGGAAATTGGAGAATAACTTTCTTTAATCATAAATTTAAAGAACAAAACTTTTTGCTTTCCAGAGTTTAGTCAGCTAGAAACTTACAGAAATGGTTTTCTATTTTGAATTCTCAATTCCAGACTAAAGATTTTTAACTTAGGGCTTTTTGAGGGTTTATGAATCCCTTGGAACTAGATACAGAATCATGGCCTGCATATATGTATTTTCTTCTGGAGGGTTTCTGAATCTTTTATTAGTCTAAAAATGATCTCCCACACATTCTATTTTCCTTAAACCACTTTTTCTTAAAGCTCTAGATATTAGATACCACCTCCTACTCTCCCTAAGTAGTAGGTGTGTGCCTTCAAAGTTGAGAATGCTTTCTTTGGTTTCATTGGTTTATTAGTATGCTCTATTAGCAGTTAAGCACTGTACATATAGTATTATTGACAGAATTATTTCATCAGTAGTACAGTATTCTCATGACTCTGCCTACAAGTTCTTTGTTCCAAGGCAAGACAGCTCCTTAGCTTTGTTTCCCAGTGACTATTCAACATCACTTTATATGAGTTGTATCTACTTCATGTTAGGTGCACCACATGGAGCACGTACATACTCTGTCACTCGCAATCTTCTGAGTTCTTTTCTGCTTGCCCTAGCTAGCTTCCTTCCTGTCTTTGATGTGTTCAGCACATGGTCATAAAATAATTACCCCATCCTCCTGAGGTAATGGCTTTTGCTTCCTCCCTAGTACTTGTTCACCTTCCTTTTTCTTTTCTTCTCAGCTCTGTGAGAGTTTTGTGCGTCAGTGGGGGTAGTTAGGAGAAAAGGGTAAGAAAGGCCAGGTAGGAGGGGCCTGTGAGGCTGAGGGCTTTCACGTGTGAAGACTGTCAACTCCTGTTATAGTTTTTAAAAGGAAACAGTTGTCAGTGTATTCAATTTTTTTAAATGTACAAATATGGTCTTTTTAGATGGATGCATGCAGTTTGTCAAAACTTAAATACTGAGGAGGAAGTGGAAAATGTAGCAGACATTGGTTTTGATTGTAGCATGTGCAGACCCTATATGCCTGCGTCAAATGGTAAGAGAACACTTAAGCTGCGAGTCTGTGCTCTCCTGCAACTCACCTGCACCTTGCTGTCCATGGCCAATGAGTGGGCTTAACTCTACTTCTCTTTTGTTTTTGTGAAACTATTATTTGGACAAGTAATTTATGGAAAAACAAGGTTTTTTTGGTTATAAAATAATTCTTATTATCCCAACTTTATATGTTAAAACACTTTAACATAAAGGAAGAAAATGAAGCATACACTTTAGATGTAAGATGTAATTTTGCTTTCAGGGAACATGATCTTGTAGTTTTTAACAACATGTAGAAATCCAGTACACCGATTCTCTATCTTTGTCACTGTTAGCTCCCTGGCTTGCATATTTCCTTCACCACTTCTCCTTGTTGTGTCTTGTTGTTGTTTTAAAGATCACTTTTAACTCTAGTACTGAAGCATTTATTTCAATAAAATTGTAACTGTATATAAGTCTTTAAGTACACTTCATCTTTTCTGAAGAAATCACCTGAACTTTTTTCGTTTCAGTGCCTTCCTCAGACTGCTGTGAGCCTTCACTTGTAGCACAAATTGTCACAAAAGTAAAAGAGCTAGGTAAAATGTGAAATGCTTTACCTCATTGTTCTTTAGAAAAAGCTCATAAATGCTTAACTTTTTATATAACTAACTTGCCACATGTTGTATGAAACCTGCCGTAATCATACAGGCATTCAAATCTAAATTCCCTAATGTTGGTAATCATTTCTATAACTGATATATAAAATGTTTGTCTTATTCAGCTTCACTGGGACAGTATTCCTGTAAATTTCAGCAAGTTGGGAATGAAAATAACAGCTTTTATAATAACCATTAATGCCTTACTTGCTTCGGTTTCACTGATACATTACTGTGCTTAGTTATCAGTTAGCAGAAAGTAAGGCCTAGTTAGCAAACATTCCTTTTAGAATTAATTCAGTCTCTTAATATTTTTTCTATAGTAGATGAGCCTATAATGACGATTAATGATACTGTTATTAAACAATCATTCTTTTCACTTCTTGTATTTGATAGCATCTGATACAAAAACATTTGGATAGTATAAAAATTGTAATAAGGAACAGCAGTTTTGTACATTTAAAAATTAAATCTGCAAAATTTGTACTTATTTACTACCTCTCTCTGTAAGTGATTATACTGGAACTTTGTTTTCCAGATGGGCTTCTGGAATATTCTTTTTTCTCATATATAAATTGATCCTCACCTTTTGGTCTTTTCTAGGAAAAGGCTCATAGTGGAGTAGCTGAAGCATTGCTTTTAGCTTCAGCACTTTCTTTCTAAATCCTAATGTTGATAATGTGAAAAAAGAAATGCCAGAAAGACCATTTTAAAAAAATGTGCAGCCTTTCTGCCTGTCATACAAGAAAGTTTGGCCAGTTATTCCTAGTTTTAATCAGACATCATTAGGTTAATTATTCGTGCATTTCATATATAATTGCTTTATAAAACTACAGTCACATTCCCTTGACATGGGTGTTTTGGAATGATAATTATCAGTCAAATTTAAAATGAAACTATAAATATGTATTCTTGGGATTTTGTAATTTTAGATCCACCTAAGACCTACACCCAGGATGGTGTGTGTTTGACCGAATCAGGGATGACTCAGTTACAGAGCCTCACAGTTACAGTTCCAAGAAGAAAACGGTCAAAACCAAAATTAAAATTGAAGATTATAAATCAGAATAGCGTGGCTGTCCTTCAGACCCCTCCAGACATCCAATCAGAGCATTCCAGGGACGGTGAAATGGATGATAGTCGAGGTAATATAAATTTATTTTCCATGGAATATGTGTGCAAGATTTAAAGCTTATATGAGGGTACATCAAAGAGTTCATGGGAAGGTCCATGTTATCTTTTAATTCTGTTTCCATGAGCTTTTTAAAGTACCCTTGTAAAATAATTTTTGAAGTATATATGATTTATCTAAGGGTAAATCATACTGATTTAGATAGTCCTTGACATAACACTTGCCCTTTCTAAGGGAGTGTTCTTCTTAGACCTTGCCTTTTCAGGTTCTCTTCCTTTCAGGTATTGTCTAGCACAGGCCTACCTTACAGAAACCCTCAGGAGCAACGTATCTTTGAAGATCACAGGTGGGGAAATTAAGAGGGCCTGACTTTAGTTTGCTAGATATCAGCATAAGCCTTCTCAGATTCTGTGAGCTTGGAAACCATGTTTAAGTTAAAGTAGAACTTGATCTGTGCATTCTAGAAATAGAAAAACTGTTATTAATGTTACTTCACATGTAAATTTATATTCACAGGTATTCATCGTAAACCATCGGTTTATAAACATTTTCTTCAGGGTACATATAAGTTTTTCTAGCTGAATTATTGAGATAAAATAATTTTAGTAATAATACTAAATTCCAAATGAGTTATGTTTTTTTTTTTTTTCAAATGAGTTATGTTTTTACTTATCTCCAAAGAGGATCACTATAGGCTTGTTTATTTTTAGAGTGATTATTTTCAGCTGATTCAGAATTAATTATTTTTGTTCCATTATAATTTATCATTCAGTAGAATTTATTGAATGCCCACTGCATGCCAGATGTTGGAAGTCATTTCGATGAACAAACCAGATAAAATTCTCTGCTTATGGAGCTTATATTTTAATGTAAGAAGACAAGACTGTAAAAATAAAAATACATAACATAATAAATCAGTTAATTATAATGTGTTTGGCAAGTGCTATAGAAAACACAGAATTATGTTAAGAAGAATTAGGAGTGTCCACAGTGGTGTTGAGGGGTCAGATGAATGAAAACAATTTTTGTTTTTATTTTTTATTTATTTTTTTTGCGGCTGGCTGGTACAGGGATCCAAACCTGCTACCTTTGTGTTACAAGGCTGTGCTCTAACCAAGCCAGCCAATGAAAGCAGTATTTGAACAGAGACTTTCAAGAGAGGAGTTAGACTTCTGTGTCGGACAGAACTCAGCAGAATTTCACACTGTCATTTCTATATGTGATGTAAATTCCTTTCGAGGTATTAAAAGGAATTATGCCTGTGTTTGAGTAATTAGACGCTTAGGGTGGAGGATTGTCTGCCAGAATCATTCTCTGAACTGAATGTTTCCATATCTTTTTATTCATTTTGGAAGCTGTAGAAAAATTATACCAAAAGAGTCTATAAACTTCTCCCTCTGTGTTATAAAGTCATATCTGACAGGTTACTTTATTAAAAAGTACAATACATTAGGTCGAGACTGGGTGATTTTTAAAATTAAAGTTTCAAAACTTATTTACTAGAAGTGATCTTCAAGTGTGTGGTTTCCATCTTAAAGCTATGAGGATGTAGTATTATGTTATGTTACACGCAACTTTATGCATAAAATAAAAGATAAAAGTAAGTCAAATCATCACTTTCGTGTTTCAGAAACAAATTTCTTGTGCGGTAAAAGCAGACTTTTTTCTAATTTACCTACTGAGATTTGGAAACCTGGTAGTGCAAAAAAGAAAAATCCTGAACTTAAACAAAAACACTGTATGTCTGAAGTGTGAGAACACAGCACCTTCCCTGTCTGTTGCCAGCCTCAGACTAGACCATCACAATGTAAGGGGGTGTTTAGAGGTGCAGGAGTAAAATTGCACTTAGGCTGTGGCAGGCAAGGGCGTGGGCAGATAGAGTGGCGAAGGGGAATGGTGTTCAGGAACTACTGGAGAGAGGAGACTAGGAGGTAACCTGTTCACCTGGTTAAGGTGGCTGCCTCCTCGAGACTTATCACCTCCTGTAATGTTAATGTCAACTCTCTCACCTTTTTAAACTTGATTTTTTGGACGCGTTATACATTAAAATGATTTAAAATTGAAAAAGAATAGAAAGGTAAACAGTGAAAAGTCTCCCTCTCCTCTGTTCTCAAGCCCCAGTTCACTTCTCCAGAGGCAAGCAATTCCTTGTGTAACCTTCCAGATGTGTTTTATGCATGTACCAGCAAATACGTATATATTTTTGTTCCTTTTGTCTTACTGTTCTTTATGTTGTTCATTTTTTTGTGGCTGCATATTCCTTTGTATGGATTTAAGTAACTTAGTTTACCAGTCTCTTTCCTATTGATAAACCTTTGGGTTTCTTTCAGTCTTTTATTATGAATGTCTGGTACATTTATAATGTCATACATAGGCGGATCTGCAAAGATGAATTCCTTTCTAAATCAAAGGCTATATGCATTTGTAACTATATTTGGCAAATGGAGGTTTCTTTTTTCATTTCTTTTTTATTTACAAATTTGAGGTGTACAACAAGGTAGCAGCTATATATATATATGTATATATATATATATGTGATACTATATATATATATACACATATATGATTTACAGTCAAACAAATGTGCACATCTGTCACCTTCCATAATTACTGTGTATATGTACTCTCTCAGCAAGTTTTCAGTATACAACACAATATTATTAACAGTTGTCCTCAGGCTGTGCACTCCAGACAGTTCATCCTACTTCACTATTCATTCATCTGTCATTGGACACTTAGGTTGTTTCTATATCTTGGCTATGGTGAGTACTGCTGCCATGAACATGGGAGTTCAAATATCATTATGTGGTGGTGATTTTATTTCCTTTGGTTATATACGCAACAGAGGGATTGCTGGGTCATATGGTAGTTGTATTTTCAATTTTTTGAGGAACGTCTTTACTGTTTTCCATTATAGCTGTACCAGTTTACATTCTCACCAACAGTGTACAAGGGTTCCCTTTTCTCCACGTCCTCACCAACACTTGTTATCTTTTACCTTTTAATAATAGCCATTCTAAGAGATGACATCTCATTGTGGTTTTAATTTGCTTTTTCCTGATTATTAGTGATGTTGAGCGACTTTTCATTTACCCATTGGCCATTTGTATGTCTTTGGAGAAATGTCAATTCAGGTCCTTTGCCCATTTTAAAATCAAGTTCCTTTTTTTTTTTTTTTGCTATTGAGTTGTGAGAGGTCCTTCTGTGTTCTGGATATTAACCCCTTTTCAGTATTTTCTCCTAATCCCTGCTGCCTTTTCATTTTGTTGATTGCTTTTTGGGGGGGCTGTGCAGAAGCTTTTTAGTTTGATGCAATCCCACTAATCTTTGGTTCAGTATTTTCTCCTAATCCCTGCTGCCTTTTCATTTTGTCGATTGCTTTTTGGGGGGGCTGTGCAGAAGCTTTTTAGTTTGATGCAATCCCACTAATCTTTGCTTTTGTTGCCTGAGCTTTTGTTGTGATATCCAAAAAACCATTGCCAAGGTCAATATCAAGGAGCTTTTCCCTTCCATTTTCTTTTAGGAGCTTTATGGGTTCAGGTCTTATGTTTAGGTGTTTAATTAATTTTGAGAGGATTTTTGTGTACAGTGTAAGATAAAGGTCTAGTTTCATTCTTTTTGCATGTGGATACCGGTTTTCCCCGCACCATTTATTGAAGAGACTGTCCTTTCCTTATTGTGTCTTCTTGGTAGGCTTGTCAAAAACTAATTGACCTAGTATGCTTGTGTTTATTTCTGAGCTCTATTCTGTTTCATTGGTCTGTGTGTCTGTTTTTATGCCAGTACCATCCTTTTTTGATTTCTATAGATTTGTAATATGATTTGAAATCAGGCTGTGGGATGCCTCCAACTTTTTCTTTCTCAGGATTGTTTTGGCTCTTCATGGTCTTCTGTGGTTCCATAAAAATTTTAGATTTGTTTTTGCTATTTTTCTGAAAAATGCTATTGGAATTTTGATAGAAATTGTATTGAATATGTATATTGCTTTGGGTAGTGTGAACATTTTAACAATATTCTTCCAGTCCACAAACATGGGGTATCTTCCTGTTTATTTGTGTCTTCAGTTTCTTTCACCAGTGTTCTATAATTTTTAGTGTGCAGATCTTTCACTTCCTTGATTAAATTTGTTCCTTTTTGATGCTATTGTAAATGGAATTGTTTTCTTGATTTCTTTTTTAGATAGATAGTTATTGTTATAAAGAAATGCAACTGATTTTTGTGTGTTGATTTGGTATCCTGCTTCTTTACTGAATTTGCTTATTAGTTCTAACAGTTTTTTTGTGTGTATATGGAGTCTTTCTACATTTAAGATCATGTCTTCTGAAAACAGGGATAATTTTACTTGTTTTTTTTCTGATTTGGATGCCTTTTATTTCCTTTTCTTGTCTAATTGCTCTGGCTAGGACATCCAGTACTATGTTGAATAAAAAGTGGTGAGAGTTGGCATCCTTGCCTTGTACCAGATATTAGAGGAAAAGCTTTCCCTTATTTTGAATAGGTGATATCTCTGTATGATATAAAAAATGCAAAGAGTCCAAAAGAGTAAACAATGAAAACTTAGTCTCCCTCCCAGCCATTTCTTCACCAAAGAGAACCACTGTTTTCTTATAACCTTCCAGAGACTAGTTATGTATAAACAACAATGTATTTACCAGAGAATTTCTAATATTTGGGCAATGTGGTCTGTTTTCCTTCATTGTAGCCTGTGGGAATCAGAAGATGTTGGTTAGAACGGTCCTTAGCCATCAGTGATATCAGTCACGTTAAGGCTAGTGTACATCCTACTTCATGCCATTCATCTCAGCATGTGTGATCACTGGTATCACTATGAATCTCAACAGTAAAAGTGCTCTCTTGGTTTCACTGTTCCTGTGTGCTCTGTTTGGAGTGAAACTTGGTCTTGTGTACTAGATCCAGTGCTGCCTTAGGCCACAACTCATTACACATGATTAATTTTGGGATTCCCTCTTCACCGTCATCCTGGAGATTGTCTTCTTTTCTCTCTTGTCTTGCATGTGTTTTCTGTGATTTCATGCATTACTCTTATTTCTCTCCCTCAATTTGATGGGACATTTTCTATAATTTTCTCAGAATGTATGCAAGGTAAATTTGGGAGATTATACTCTTCTGAAAATGTCTTTATTTTACCCTTCTACCTGAATCATATTTTCCAGGTTGGAAATAGATTTTCTTTTAGCATTTTGAAGTTATTGATCCATTTTCTTTTAATTTCTAGTATATAGAGAATTCAATTCTTCCTATGTGACCTGTGTTTTCTCTGGAAGCTCTTAGGATTTTAGGAAATTCTTTGTCCTCAATATCCTGGACATGTCACAAAGATACATGTCTGTTTTCACCTATTTTGGATATTTTTTCATCTGTTTTGTCAGGCACTGAGTGGTCCATTTCGTTCTGCCATCTCATCAATGGTAGGAAATGTTCTTGAAGTGTATCATTTATGATTTTTCCCCTGAAGTTTTCTCTCTTCTTTTTCTAGACTCCTGCTGTTCAGATGTGAAACCTACTCAACTGGTTGTCTTTTCTCTGCTTCTTTCCAAAATATGTCCTTATTTTATCTTCCCACCCTTCTAATCATTTTTATTTTTGTTTCAATTATCATGTAGTAATTTCTAAGAGTTTTCTTTCCTCCCTTCAAATCTTCCTTTTTGTAGCATTGATGTTTTATATTATCTCTCAGAGGATTTTAATTTTTTTAAAAGGTTTTTTCTTCCATCATACTCAATTCCAAAGTGCTTTTTGTATTCTCAGGTCTCTATCTTTTTGTGTTATTGACCTTCATCAGATAATTCTTGATTGTATATGCATGATTAAAAGCAAGGAACTAAAAATGGGGATTGGATAAATAAATTGATGATAATCTTTTTATCTTAAAAAAAAGAAATTAAACACTGGAAAGCTTTGAGTATGTGGGTGGTGCTTATTGACTTTAAGTTTGTGGGGGTGATCTGTGTTGATCATTTGGGGACTCCCCTAGTGTCAGTGTCTTTAGACATTTCCCTTGGACTAGTCAGGTTCCCCAGAGGAATCTTTTCAAGTCTCATGCTTGGAGGGTAGAGGTCTGGCTGCTAGTGTTCTGGGAGTTTAGTAGGGAAGGGCTCTGGGGGTGGGTGGGTTCGGGTGAGGTTGTCTGTATTTAGCATGCCCATAGTCCCTTGATCCTGTTTTCTGTCTGGTGCCCCATTGCTTAGGTTGTCCAAGAGTCCTGAGTCCCATGAGTTAGAGTGGCAGCTTCCTAGTGTGTCAAGTTGGGAAGAAGGTGTAGGGCGTGTGACTCCTATAGGTAGTGTAAACAGTGCTGTCTTTGTTCTTACCTTCTGACACCCATAGCGAAAGGAACCCAGTTTTGCCATTTCTTCAGCCTTTTGGGGATTGTTATAAACTGGATTTCTTTCCTCAGTTCTTTCCACTCTCAGCTGAGAATTTGCAGTTGCCAAGTCACTTACCATTCATCTTTATGCTTTCCCCTTCCAAAATTGTGACTTTTCTTTTTTCCTGTTTCCTGTCTTTGTGAGCTTATCTTTTAAAAATAGATTGCTTCAATGTGTTTTAGTAGAGTTTCAGGAGACTGAAATTAGATGCGTGAATTTAATCTACCATCTTAACCCAAAATTCCTTCTCATTAACTTTTAGGTGGGTATATTTGAAGGTAAACAAGTGGTATTTTGTCATATTTGGTGCTTGCTAAGTTTCAGTGTATAAACATTTCTTTTTGCGGCTTAATCATAGCTATATAGCACAGTTATTCAATTGTTATGGAATTGGACTCAAATATAGACCAAATATAATAAAAATCAAATACCCTGTTCATGGTATTACAGAAAAATGTCATCCGTAATATATATCATAGTGAAGAAAAGAGTTAATTTAATTTTAAAATGTATTTGATAAACTTGTCTTTTTCCTATAGCACAGTGTAAAGAAGGTACAACTTGCAAAAGTTTGTTTACCGTAGTGTTAAAATAGCATTTTCTAAGACCTGGACTTTTGGGGCTGGCTGATTAGCTCAGTTGGTTAGAATGTGGTGTTATAACACCAATGTCAAGAGTTCAGATCCCTCTACTGGCCAGCTACCAAGAAAAAAAAGAACTGAACTTTTATATGCATTACATAATTTCATTTACTTCATTCAATGAAATATTTATGGAATACCTACTAGGTGCCAGGCTAAGGATGCATCTGTTAATAAGAAAGTCTTAGTACCTGTTCTCATGGAGAATATAGTCTTGCAGGGACACAGACTTCATAGAACCAATTAAAATGAAGCATTACATTAATGTACAGGAGCATATAACTGTTGGACATAACCTCTTCTAAATATCAGGAACTCTATAATACAATGATGGTACTGAAATAGAGTCTTGAAAGATGAGTTAGGTAGAAGGCAGAGAGTGGAAGAAAGAGCTTGATACAACTTCACTGCAGTTAGAGTGAGGTGGAGCCAGAGAGTTTTCAAGAGATTATTATAATGGGCCTTACAATATGAGCTTTGTGGGGCTCTCGGAATACACGAAAGGATTTTAGGCAGAAAATTGATACATATTTATAGAAAGATCACTTATGCTGCAATTCAAAGAACTGATTGGAGAGGGGTATGCTTTGAGGCAGGGAACTACATAGTAGGGTGTTATAGTAAATCATCTGCCAGATGGACTAAGATGGCGGTAGAGAGAAATAAAATGCTTTTCAGAGATATCGAAGAGACTTGATTATGGGAAAAAAGAAATTAGGAATTGTCAAGGCTCTCTTCTACGCTTCTGTCTTCTCCAGGGTAAATTTCCATGTCTTTTAATGATGGTAGATAACATGCGGAAAGGGAGAAAGTTCATCTTAAATTAGTAGTTCATTCTGGATATGCAATTTTCAGTAACTAGGTAATACCCAATCACAGCTGTGGTTGGAGCTCAGAAGAGAGTTGAAGGCTAGAGAAATAGCCTTGGGGTTGTAGACCTGAAGACATAATTAAAAGCAAGTGAATAATTTGTTAAGTGCAAATTGATAATTGTCTTTTTGAGTCTCTCTCTCTGTGATTTCCCTTCCCTGATTCTTATGTTTCACTTCCTGAGAACACTGCGTTAAGCAGCACAATTTCTACAACCATTTGGAGCCTCTTCCATCTCTTTCTGTTCCTATTGATGGAGACGCACGATTAGGAGGGCTTGGTGACCACTTTGATTTGTATTTCCCATTAGGTAGGAATTATGTATTTGATAGGTTTTTCCAATTTTATCTCTGCATTTACTTTTTTCCAGAAGGAGAACTTATGGATTGTGACGGAAAATCAGAATCGAGTCCTGAGCGAGAAGCTGTGGATGATGAAACTAAGGTAGTAGAAGGAGCAGATGGTGTCAAAAAGAGGAAAAGGAAACCATACAGGCCAGGTACATCGCCTGAGCTAGACTTCTTACCATAATCAAAACTTAGTTAATTAAAAAAAAATAGAGTATTGAGGACTTCAATTATAATGGAATAACCAGGATTAAATATGGCATCTTCACAATTATCTGAACTAAAACTTGTGCATTTAAATTAAAGAACTGAACTACTGTATTTGAGTATGCTTTTTAGCTGATGAACTCCTTAGGTTGAGTATGTGAATACTTCACAATGAATCATTTAATGCTTTATCCCAAATGTGAATCATTTTAATTAGATGTCTTCTAGATTGGTTTTTACTTATGCTTGGACTTTTAAGGCCATTTGTATGTTTCCCCTAGATGTGTACATCTGTAATTTTTTTTAATTTTCAGCATTCGTTTTCTAATATTTTTATATTTCTTAAAACTTACTTCAGTGTTTATGCAGGAGTGCTGGAAGGTATACAGTGTGAAGGTGAACAAGACAGGGTTCTTATGTCTTCTAGAATTTATAATCCAGTTAATACCATGGCCGATTAAACACTCTCTTATTCTTGTCTGCCTCAGATAGAGAGAAAAACTGCCTTGCTAGTCAGTTTTTATTTATCTTATTAGAAAATATTGAAATCGTCATAGTACAGAAGTTGTAGGCTTCCTTGAGGCAATTTATTAATCTCTATTTACCAACTAACGAGGTATTAAATTGGATCAATACAATCTTTATTCTCTTGATTGCTTATATTTCGTTAGTAATAGTTATCTCAATTCCTCTTGATATGTAAGCGAGAACTTTCTCACTGCATTTGTATTTCGCAAAACCTTTAAAAGTAACCTTTCCTTACAGATGGTCCATATTTATAATAAGGATCTAAGGTTAGTTTATCCAAATCATTTTATGAAAATGGTTTCATTTCTTCCCAATTATGAGGCTTATTATCGCACCTACTTTTTTAGACATTGTGAATTCCTTTAGGAATTTATATTTAGTGTTTTGTTTTTTTCTGCCTTACATGAGGAGCCTGTTAGGTCACAAAGTACATTACTGGACAACTGTACATTTGGAAAGAGGTTACAGTGTTGCCTGTGTGCCAGGCACTAGTCTAAGCACTTTACATATATTGATTTACTTTTATGACATATGTATGAGACAGTGCTGTACATTATCCCCATTTTACCAGTGAGGGAACTGAGAAGTTAAGTAACTTGCCCAAATTTAGTTAGTAAGCAGAATTATATAGTCTGGCTCCAGATTCTGTGTTATTAACTACAGAGTTCTGTGTGTTTTCATGTCTGAATGCCTTGATAACATGAAATAACTAGACACAATCCCCCTAACGTTACATTCATCAAAGAATGTTCCTTTCATCCAGTTTAGTTTGTATCTTCTATTCTCTAGCTAATGTACAAATTATTATCCACTTAATGTACAACTAGTTTGATGTGTGAGTGACTAATATTTGTTAAATAGATAAGCAAAAATAGTTTGCTGGTTAATATTTACTCTGACATTGTCTAGAAGATGAAATATGTATGCAAATTTTTCTGTATTCTAACGTATTTTAATTCCTGATTAGTGATAGTGATAGCTTTGACTTTTTTTTTCTTATTTCCAACTTCAATTTTGCATAAAAATGAGATTATTGATTTAAATTAGCCCAGATTGAAGTTTGGAAAATGCCTCACTATCTAATACAAAGTAATTTCATCCTACTTACTGTGGAAATATAGGGAGAAATTAGCTATCGGCTTACGCGATTTCTGTTTTGGATAGGTATCGGCGGATTTATGGTACGGCAAAGAAGTCGAACTGGGCAAGGAAAGACCAAAAGATCTGTGATCAGAAAAGATTCCTCAGGCTCCATTTCTGAGCAGTTGCCTACCAGAGATGATGGTATAGTACTCATTTTGTTTTATTTAACCCTTTGGTCTTGATATCTGTATTGGAAAGAACCATCCTAAATGATATACAGTTACAACTTTATTGCCTCTTATGATCAAAGGATTTAAGTGCCTATAGAATTCATACCTATAATACAGCAATCAGGTTTGATAAGGAAATAGTTTAAATCTTGTACACTGTTTTCCTTAGATTTTTTAACAAGTTCCTTTTTTTCCTGTATTAAATATATTAAATATATTTCCTGTATTAAATCCAAGGTAGTTTAGGGATTGAATCACTTAGTTACATATGGCATTTTCTGGTCATCTCAAAAAAGGCCTTAGTTACCTGCCATAAAATTTGAAACTTTTAGATTATTTAGTTGCAAATGACAGGGTACCCCAAGAATTTTTAACAAAATTATATAGTGTTTTAGAAATGCATCTTCCAGTGAACATTCTCTCATGCTCACTCGGAGCTTCAAAGAGAGCTAAAATCATTGCTTAAGCCATAGCTTTATATTAGTTGAGAATGTCCTACTCCTTTGTCTCAATTTGAGAAGTGGTTTTAGTGAAAACTTTCTAATCAGTATATTCATGATCTATATGATTACCTATTTTGAAACATTTAATATAGAATATGAAAAGAATTGAGATGCTTTCAGCATGTGATCTGAATAGAGTCCTACTATTACTAGGAGATAGCGTTTTGACCTCAAGTGAATTAATAAAAATCAGAAATTGCTGCATGTTTTAAAAAGGAAGCTCTGGGCCGAGCCCGTGGCACACTCGGGAGAGTGCGGTGCTGGGAGCGCAGCGACACTCCCACCACGGGTTCGGATCCTATATAGGAATGGCTGGGTGCGCTCACTGGCTGAGCGTGGTGTGGGCAACACCACACCAAGGGTTGCGATCCCCTTACCGGTCATGAAAAAGACAAAAAAAAAAAAAAAAAGAAGCTCTATAATGGTTTTCAAGACGTTTCTAATATGACTTAAGATGGCTATAATAAGCCCAATGAAGATATTTGATATGCTCCATGAAACTATTTTTCGTGTTTTCCATCTCTGTCTTTTTATTCTGTCCTCCAAATTTTTTTTTTTTAAGTGGCTGGTCAGTTTGGGGATGCAAACCCTTGACCTTGGTGTTTACACACGATGCATGCTCTAACCATTTGAGCTAACAGGCTAGCCCACAGACAGTTTAAGGTCTACCTTTCAGTTCAGTATTTTGTTCTTTCATCTGTGTCTAATCACAACCCTTCTATTGATATTCATATGCAATTTTTTTCCTTTTCTAAACTGTCCTTTTGATGTTTTAACACTTCGTAGTTTCTTTTTAAAGCTTACTTCTTATTTCTGCTTTCATCTTTTATTTCGTCATATAACTAGTTGACTTAGAATATAAAACATCTGTGGCCTTTGCGTGTCTGATCCTACTCTTTGCACCCACTGGCTCCATGTACTAGGGCCTTGTTTTATGCTGCATTTGTTGTGTGAGAGAGAGACACACATTGTTATTATTATTTGTTTTTCTTACTGTGAACTAATATTCTTTGGAAAATTGTTTTAATTTTTTGAATTTTTTGACTGAATTGAAGGTGGTTCTTTCAGAGAAGATTTGTTTGCATACTTTTAGGAGCATGGGGTGCTACTACCCCCATGCTATTCTAAGCTGTGTTCTAAGCTTGAAGTTTTTGGTACACATGTTCTAGAAATACAGGTTTCTTATATGAGGGATCTTCAAAACATCATGGAAAGATTCGTATTATCTTTGAATTCTATTTTTTCACAAACTTTTTTGAAGTACTCTTGTGCAATAGGGCTATATTGAGTTAGTGAATTCTGAGGGAAGTCTCTCACTTTTTGCCTTGTTACCCAGCACCAAATCCCATGAAGTGATAACAAGCAGCCCCTTTGCTATTGTTGGTGGGGGGAGGGGGAACATGTTTCTTGTTAAAGTAGCCATGAGTGTGGGGTCCTGAGGGACCTCCACCTTTAAGCAGGGCACCTTCAGTTGGTCTCTCCACCTTGGAGAGAGGCCTTAGGCTTTGTCTTCTGTTCTATATTCTTCATAAGGCTCTGAAAACTGGATGGAGTTCACGATCACCAGAATTTAGCAAATTTCAGACAGCTTTCCTTGCTTACTTTTCTGGTTCCTTCTTTACCTTAATTTTTGGTCTTTGGGGATTTTTAATTTTCTGGCTAAACTACTGGTACATTTAGAAAGATTGTTGTAAAAAATGTTTGTCCAATATTTTTAGTTGCTTTCAAGAGTCAATTCACCTGTGTAGCCTTGATGACAAAAGTACCCGTGTTGATTTTCAGAAGGGACATGCCACTTGCCCTACCATTCGTGAAGAAGCATCACGAGAGTATCATATGTTTGCTCACTTGTCTGCTTTAAGTTGTATACTTGTTTCTTTGCTAATTTGATAGTCATAATTTTGGTTTATTTCCATTTTTCTGATTTTAAGAATGAGTGTTCATTGCATATTTATGAGCACATTTATATCTGAGCATATTCATAGATGGTGATATATTTTCACAATGCATATATACTACAAACACCTAATTTGCAATATGTTTCTGAGCTTGGAATTGCTGGATTGAAAGACACATGTTTTTAAAAGATTTTTGTTGGGTATTCCCAGTATCCTCTACAAAAAGGTTGGGCCCACTAACTTCCCTTTCGTGTAGTATGTGAGTAGTCATTTCCTTGTACTCATGAGCATTGGGTATTATTATGTTTTTAAAATTTTTAAAAAAATGTGTTTTAAAAAGTTTCTGCTTTGAAAGGAAATACTGAACATTGAGAGTATAGGTAATAGGAAACATGCTAATACTAAATAGACATGAAGTGAAATTTTTATCATACTTAAAGGTCATTAATAAACTCTCTTTGAGATCTTTTTGACAGAAAGCTTATTTGTTTACATGAAACTGTATATGTTTGTAAGCTAGAAAATTACCTTGGATGGATTTGTCTGAAAAATTTAAGTGCCACATATTTGTAGATGTGACTGTTGTTTCAGGCTGGAGTGAGCAGTTACCAGATGCTCTAGTTGACGAAGCTGTCTCCATTACTGAAAGCACTGAAAAAATAAAGAAGAGATACCGAAAAAGGAAAAATAAGCTTGAAGAAACTTTCCCTGCCTATTTACAAGTAATATTTTGCTTTACATTGTATTATGTAGATTCTCAATTGAGGAAATGTAATGTATTGTTTTTTACAAAACAGCTTTGTTGTTTTTGTTAATGTTTTTCTTGTTTTGTTTTCATTTAGTTGTCATAAATGCCATTTGTACCTTCCAGGGTCCCCCAAAATTAACATTTACCTTTTTTTTGTAATTTGATAGTTTTCATAAAGTTATTTTTTTATCCCAGTTGTTCACTTGTAAGTATTCTGTAAGACATAATAAGGACACTTTGGGGTGGGAAAAGCTCAGTCTTCCAAACCATTCACACCTGTGTTTTCCCCAAACCCAAGTCATATTGAAATTTCCCTTTACCAGTACAGGTTGTAATAACTGTGTTCACTGAATAAAGATAGGTTGCTAGCAGCCAAAGTTATAGATTTACTAATCATTTACGCTATGATAGGCGTGGTAATCTAAATATTTAAACAGAATTCTTTTTGTTTTCCAAAATACACATCAGAAAAATGTCTCTCAATTAGAGAAAATGCATTATTTTTCATCTTGTAAACATAGAGTCACAGAAGAGTTCAAAGCCATGTGATGTATTAGGACTGAGATTAAACGTCTGGCTCTGCCACTTGCTAATCTGAGATACCTGAGCATGTTGGTCATCCTTCCTGGGTGTCTTGTTTCTTCATGTGTAAAAATTGAATTGGAACAGACTATCATTGAGTGTCCATCCTCATTTCAGTGCGTATGACTGTTCATCTGATCTGTCCCTCCCACACACCTATGGCCTGTATTGATACCTCTTCATTGCTTGAGTTGTATTTATTTATTTTATTTATTATTTTTTTTCCTTTTTGTCTTTTTTTTTTTTACTGACCGGTAACGGGATCGCAACCCTCGGTGTCGCGCCTGTACCGGGGACCGGCAACGGAATCGCAACCCTCGGTGTCGCGCCTGCACTGTGCTCAGCCAGTGAGTGGGAACCGGTCTCCACATGGGATCCGAACCCTCGACGGGAGCGCCGCCGCGCTCCCAAGCGGCGCACTCTCCAGTGCACCACCGGGCCGGCCCCTGTATTTATTTTTTACCTTAATTTTCTAGTTACCTATTAATAAATAGGTTTTAAAATACATTTCCTTTCAGTTAACATATAACTTCCTCAATTTTCTTTTTTAGTAATTAGACTACTAACATCTTAATGGCACCATTCATGTTAAAGAGTTCAGCCTTCAAAGTCAGTGTCCTGGGTTTAAAATACCACACTGCTACTGGTTAACTGTGTCCTCTTGTTCTAGATATTTAACGTCTCTATGCCTCAGTTTTTTCATCTGCAAAATCATGGTAATACTTGTCTCACAGTAATGTTCAGAGATTAAGTAAGATTATGTATGTGAAGTGCCCAACTCTGTGCCTTACCTTTATGCACCTTTAATAGATGTTTTATTTCCCCCTATTCTCTTTGAGTCCCCTTTTATCGTAGCTTTGCCCTCCTTCCTTCTTTTTAATAGTAATTTTAAATAGTAATTTAATAGAAATGGACCGTTATAGTTCAGATCATCCGTATTTGCATCCTTTTTGTTTCTGTTCTTATCTCCTGTTCCCATCACCTCCCTTCCTAATGGCCCCTTTGGGGAGTATTGGGAAGATAACGTGCCCCTCCTCCTGTTGAGCCTTCTGTAAAGTGTAATCTGTGTTTAGAAAGCGTTCTTTAGCTTTTATGAAAATATGAAAACTGGTCGTTTAGTAGTTTGGCATAAGAGCCTTTAAAAGTATTAGGTCTGATTTCCCAATTATTGCAGTGATCTTTGAGCTGGATTGTTTTCCTCTGGTGTACATCAGTAATATCCTTTTCTTTTTTTTTTTTTTTTTCTTCATGTGAGGGAAACCTTTATAATGGCACTGTTTTTAGACATCTTGTGATAGCTGTATTTTTTGCATTGATTGGGGGAACACACAGTGACAAAAACCTACTAGGAATCCATTAACACTCTTGGCAGTTGTTGTTTGTTAATCATGACAGTGATTATAAAGTCAATATATAGTATAAGTTGTATAATCTAACCACTGGAAATGTTTGTGGGGTCCGCTGAGAGCTAGTAATGCCCTGTGCCTTTAGGAACCCCTTCAGTAGATCCACAGTCTCTGGCTGATTCTCAGAGCCGCTGACAGTATTGTCAAGTTAGAAACCATGTGGCCACTTTAACTTCAGGGAATGAAAAACCCACCATATTGATAAGAATGTTAGGGGCCGGCCCGGTGGCGCACTCAGTTGAGTGCAGCGCTTGGGAGCGAGGCGGCGCTCCCGCCGAGGGTTCGGATCCCATATAGAGACCGGTCCGCTCACTGGCTAAGCACGGTGCGGGCACGACACCAAGGGTTGCGATCCCGTTACCGGTCACGAAAAAAGACAAAAAGGGGGGGGAAAAAAAAAAAGAATGTTAATAAGTTTTTGATAAACACCAGTAAGTGCACCGTGAGTTATTTTAAAAATTTCTTGCTAATGGTGGTCTCAGATTTTTTAACTTTATACTGAAGACATTAGATAAATGATCTCTAAACTTCTAAGATGCTTTCTGCTATTCAGCATTTTTCCTAGTTTTAATAGCATTGCTGGTTTAAGAAATAAACCATCTTCCAGCCAGTGCTCTAGCTTTGTGGATTTTCAATTTTCTTTTTCATAGTGAAACAACTTGTTCATTTTAAAAACGTGAAAATTTCAAATCAGGTATGTCATCACTTCACCAGATTTCACACCCCTACCCCCAATCCCTTTTCAGAAGTTGGCATTGTTAATATTTTAGTGTTTCTCCTTTCAGAACTTAATTTATAATTTATTTTTACATACTTGGTTTGTATTTCATATTTTGCTAAACATATCATTCAACTGACTTTCTTTTAGTAATGTATTTGTACTTTCAGTATTTGTATTATGTATATGTAGTATGTATGAGTGTCTATAATTTATTTAGTCATATGTCTATTGATGGACATTAAGGATGTTTTCACTTCTTGTTATTACTAAAAATGCTGCAGTGAACTTTTTTGTGTATGTATGTTTGGCAACAGTGTGTTAAATGTTGATAACTACTGCAAAATTGTCCTCTGCGAAGGATCCTTTTTCAAGACAGATCACATTATAGAAAATAGACTAAAGCACAGTTGCTGGATCAGAGCAAGCAAAAGGGGTTCTGAGTGCTTCCTTTTTTGTCTTCTGTTGAGAAGTTTTGGAGAGATCCTGGAGTTGCAAGGAACCCAGCTGGATACACCAGCCTCTAAAGTAGAGAAAGTATCTTGAAAAGGAGAAATGTTGATACAAGTTAAAGGCAAAAAGCATTTAATAGTGGTAAATGTTGCACACACAGTGTGGTTAAAATGACTGTAAAAACCATTTAAGATTTGTAGTGTAAGTCTTAGTGTGGTGATACAAATCAATTTGTGATTACTGCATCTACCTGAAGACTGTAAATATTAAAGCTGTAGATCAGTCTTGTGCTATCCTCTGCAAATAACCTATAAATACTAGTAATATTCATAAAGATTTAGTTTTGCTTGTAATATGAATTAAGTGCCAATAGTATTGTAAATCTATCAACTTTTAAATTTAATTGTAGTTTAATATTCTGGAATTGAATTATTATACTGCACTTGCTAGAAACACATTTGACATAATTTTGTGGTTTTATTTGCATAATCTTTTTGTCTCTAGTAAAACTATAAAATAATCTTATTTTTAAAATAAGGGGAATGTATATAAAAGAATTGATAGGATCTTTCTTTATTGTTTCTATATTTCTATATTCAATTTTTATATGGTTAATACAAAGCTTTTCTCTTTTCTGCTTCCTTGTTAAAAATGATGACAGAATGATCTTTCATCTTTTTAGAATTTTATAACTAATTATTTTCATATGTGCTTATCTTTGTCTAGGAAGCTTTCTTTGGAAAAGATCTTCTAGATACAAGTAGACAAAACAAGCTAAGTTTTGATAATCTATCAGAAGATGCAGCTCAGCTTTCATATAAAACGAACCTGAATGCAGGTTTCTTGGATCCTTCCTTAGATCCACTACTTAGTTCATCCTCAGCTTTGGCAAAATCTGGAACTCAAGGTATGTGGAGCAGTTCATTAGTGTTTCCTTTATATTAAATAGCATTCATCTTCCTTTTAATTAAACTTTGAAATGCTTTTGTTTGCCCTCATGTGCATTTTTTTTTTTTTTTTTCAAAAAATGACCGGTAAGGGGATCTTAACCCTTGATTTGGGGCTGACATGAGCACTGTGTGGCTTCTCACCCTCTTACTGGCCTTTTCTTCCTTTGTCATCTGCCTCTTACCTATCACTATTGAGTCAGCAAATTCCTCAAGAGAAAAAGTGAAATCAGCCACCTTTCAGTCAGTGCTTCCCTTTTTCTCAGCACCATGCTCAGCCAATGAGCAAACCGGCCATCCCATATATGGGATCTGAACCCGTGGCCTTGGTGTTATCAACACCGCACTCTACTGAGTGAGCTACAGGCCGGCCCCCTCATGTGCATTTTTAAAATTTTATTGAAGTGTAACTTATATTTAGAAAATGCAACTATTTTAAGTTGACAGTTCTATGATTTGACAAATTAATTTACCCATGTAACTACCATCAAAATCAAGAGTTGTGAAGGAAAACATTTGATTTACACTTTGCTGAAAGCAATGTAAGGGGGTATAATTTGGCCATAGTTGGTGAGTTATAAATAATCATCTTCAATTTAAGTAAGATAGATTAGTAATTAGGCTACTAACATCTTAATGGCACCGTTCATGTTAAAGAGTTCAGCCTTCAAAGTCGGTGTTCTGGGTTTAAAATACCACACTGCTACTGGTTAACTGTGTCCTCTTGTTCTAGGTATTTAATGTCTCTATGCCTCAGTTTTCTCATCTGCAAAATCATGGTAATACTTGTCTCACAGAAATGTTCAGAGATTAAGTAAGATTATGTATGTAATATATTAACACACTCTGCCAGCAAGTTTCCACCTACGGGATTCTTTCTGGTTTCCCTCTGTTTTGAATTTCTTTGAGCTATATAATTAACAAAAATCTTTTGCCTTTATAAAGGAAAATTAACAAGAAAATGTTTTATTTATTTTTTAAACATTTTATTCAATATAGCATATTATATCAATTTTAATGATTTGTTGATAAGATATAAAATCCTTGACTTTTGGTAGGGGCAGCCTTTTTTAATATAATCTTTTAAAAATTGTTAGTTATAATCTGTGTAGTGGAATTTCATTGCTTTAAAACAAACAAAAACCACTAGATAACCCCTGAAAGAATTATCCAGAGATCTTTTCTTTCAAATGCACTGTTACCTAGAGAACACATTATTGAAATAACTTTATTTCTGTGAAAACTTTCTGAATATTTGGGCATACAAAAATTAGATTAACTTTTACTTGAAAAATTATGATGTTCTTATATACAAATTTTATTTGAGAAGTATATGTGTAATGGGACCAACACTGTGTATTTGTGAAACACAGTCTTCGTCCCATTACACATACACTCCTGCCCCCTTTTAAAAATAAAAATACACTTGAGATGGGTTAAAATTTTTAGATGTTCTTTAACTGAATGACTAATATAATTACTAAAGCTAGCCTAAGAGTTTCAATATTTTTCTACTTGATTAGGCCCAAAATCCTTAGAATATTTCTTGACTTTTTATTCTCCACATTTCCACGTATTATCCATCCACAAGTTTGTCTCTGCCTTCGAAATATACCCCAAAGCCATCCACTTCTTATCTCAGCTTTTGCTACTACCGTAGTACAGACTGCCCTCAACTCCCACTTCATCTGTGGCAGTACCCTTCTCACCCAACTCCAGGCTTGCAGGCTTTCTAACGCTTCCTCCCCCAGGCCCCACCCTGCATCTGATTTACACAGGGCGGCCACTGTTCTTTTTAAAATACCAATCGTATCATCTCCTATATTTCAGTCTTCCAACAGCTTCCCGTTACACTGTAAGGTAAAGTTGTCACCAAGATCTATAAAACCATGCACAGTCTTGCCCTAGCTGCCTCTCTTGTTTCCTAGCACACTTCCCTCTGTTGCTGTGACCGCTCTGGCCTCTTTGGTGGCAACCCTTCTTGCCTCAAGGTCTTTTTATGTCTGCTTTTCCTTCGGAGTGTTATCTCCATCTTTGTGCATATTACTCTTCATTTCATCTTGATTTATTTTCGGTCATCCCTTTCAGAAGATCCCCTGACCACTTTATCTACGTCTGCTTTTCCTTCGGAGTGTTATCTCCATCTTTGTGCATATTACTCCTCATTTCATCTTGATTTATTTTCGGTCATCCCTTTCAGAAGATCCCCTGACCACTTTATCTAACACTGCATTTCCATAGCTTATTTTTAATCCTTTTTCCTTATTTTTTTATAGCATTTATAATGACGTTGTCTATTGATTGTCTAACTCCCTCTGATAAAGTAAGCTCTGTGAGGGTACACGCTTTGTTTTAGTTGCTGCTCTATTGTTCTAGCAGGTGGAACAATGACTGATAATTAACTCATAGACATAGTCCTGTAGGTACTGAAATATGTTTTTAATAAACAAGTGAATGAGTAATCAGTTTGGAGAGCAAAGCTGGAAGTAGTAAGTACATGGTGCATGGCTTATGCTTTACAAGGAATTTTGGAATAATGGGTTTGTTTTTCATATTGTATTAACTTCTACTGTGTTTTATTTTCTAGATGTCATTTCAAGAGATACCACTTTCTTAGTGAATTTTTTTTTGCTTTGTTATAGCCTTTGGTTTCACTTTTATTGCCTACAAGTCTTTATTTTACTTTTTATCTTGTCAATATACAGTATTCACAAATCAAAAATAGTCTGAATTTTAAAAAATGTTTGTTCAAAATTTTTGTTAGAGTGCCTTTGCTGTGAAAAATTCCTATTGTAGAAGTAGTAATTTAAGTCTTTATTATTCTAGCACTTGCCTCAGCACCTGCTTACTCTAGGTATTTAGTAAATGGCTGAATGAGTGAGGGTGTTTCAGAATTTAAGTCTAAGAAAATACTGAAATTTAAAAAATATACTTATTATATTTAGGTACTGCTGATGATCCACTAGCTGATATTTCTGAAGTTTTAAACACAGATGATGACATTCTCGGAATAATTTCAGATGACCTAGCAAAATCAGTTGATCATTCAGGTATGTATGAATACTGGTTGCCTGATTTCTGTCTTATGATGTGAATGAGAGGTGTATGTGTGTGGAACAGGTTTAGTCTTCTGTCTGTTCCCCAGTTAACTGAAGTGTTGTTTTTGTTTTTGTTTGGCTTTGTCAAAGAACTCAACATTTTATTTGATCTTCCTCATCTTTCCTGCTTTCGGAAGGGATATAGCAAGTTAGTTCATTTCTGTTGTCTTTCTAATTGCATCAAATTTAAGGCCTGTTGCCTTAAAGTCTCGCTGTATCTTGTTTCTTCTTTTGTTTGCATTTTTCCTCACTTCCTGCTCCTTTGGTAACCATCCATTTTATTTGGTTTGGGTCTTGTAGGTCTTGATTTATACACTTTCCAGGTTGAGAGCTCACCTTTTCCATTTGGTAAGAAACAGCAATGGATGACAGCTGACTAGAAGTAGTCCTCTTTTTATAGTGACTTCTGCTGAAACAACCTGTAGGTGCATGCATATTTGTTAGTGGTGCTAATTTGTCACTAATCCTTACTTGTTTTTCCCTTTTTGCTTGTGGCTAAAGCATAGTATAGCTGTACTGTGCTTTGGATGACTTTCTGAGTAGTTGTTGTTTTTGTTTTTAATGAATGGTTTCATTTCTGTTAATATAATTTATATTACCCAAACATCATAGAATTAGTTTCTAATAGAAGACCAAATAAGAGCAGACTAAATTTTTACTTTTCAGTAGTAATAATATTGAGAAAGCATGAAAAAACATAGATGAAAGACCACTTTTACTTGTGAGTCTTGCTTAAAAAACCAATATGTATGAGATAATAAAACATTATAATGTTATAAATATAAATCTGTGTCTTTAGAATGTGACTACAGAATATTTAAAGAGTAATCTATAATTGGAATTATTTACAAAGGATAATGTTTGTTAAACATTAGTAGAGAACTTTAGAGCTTTTCATAAATGTGTATGAAATTTATTTCTCCTGTTTTACATACCGCATGTGATAATTGAGTTGTACATTTGATACCACTGTTTTCCAAGTTAAAACAATCATTTGTATGTTGACTTCTCACAGATTCCTATCTTAATATAAGGCTTATTTTTTGCAGAAATTGGCAACTTAAAATCAGGTGTATTCTTTTGTTCACTGTAATTTTAAATGGCACCTAAGTTTACAAATACATTTTGCATAATTTTTACCAATTGACTATCCAAATTGATATGAGAAATCCTGATTAATTCAGAATTATAGATTTCATTTCTGTATTTTAACCTTTATAGTATATTAATGCAAGTAAATAGTGCTTTACATTTTGCATGAGTGTTCTGAATTCACCTTTTAATTTATCTACCTTGCTCTTTTAGATATTGGTCCTGTAGCTGATGATCCTTCCTCTTTGCCTCAGCCAAGTATCAGTCAGAGTTCACGACCATTAAGTGAAGAGCAACTAGATGGAATCCTCAGTCCTGAACTAGACAAAATGGTCACAGATGGTAAAATATTTGCCCTACATCTAGGCTTTCTAAAAGACATGAGTAAATATGATTTTCAAAGATTTCTGCATGCCTATTTATGATTTAACTTTTATTCTGATAATTTCTGTATCAATTAAATGCTATTTTGTATCAATATATTGAGTTGGTAGTTGTTAATATTTCCATTTTTTAAATTTTATCCTAGGAGCAATTCTTGGAAAGTTGTATAAAATTCCAGGTATTTATATTCTGATTTTTTAGCTTATAAAAATAGCATTTCCAATACTATGACCCTAATAGTCCTTTAATCTTATTGCTGTTATTATTTTATCTCATAGAACTTGGAGGAAAGGATGTTGAAGATTTGTTTACTGCTGTGCTTAGTCCTGCAACCACTCAGCCAACCTCACTACCACAGCCTCCCCCTCCACCGCAGCTGTTGTCAATACACAATCAGGGTATGTTATGACTTTTGAGTGTGGTTCTACATTACATATGTGTGTGTTCATATGTGTGTGTGTGTATGTACTCATGTGCTGAGTTCTGCCTTGTTCCTTAGTAACCACATACATGAACTGTTAAGCAAAAACCTTCTTTTATGATGATGGAAAAGTACTAACTTCAGTCACACACTTAGCTCCCTAAAATTCTCTTGAAATCTGTGATCTGCCATATGACCAGAATTCTTTTGCTCACTTATTGGTAGAGGGGAGGTTGTAACAGTCTCTGCCCTCTCCCCTTCTCCCGAGTCCCAATCCCAGCTCACTTTTACTCTAGTCATTTCCTGCACGGTGATGCCCTTGTTGGGATGACCACGCCCATGCTCACCTGGCTGCCCTGTACCCATCCATCTGGTCTCAGTTTCACTGTCAGTTTCTCCGAGGTTAGCCAGTCACCCACCTCCACACCTGCCCCCATGCTTTTCACTTATAGCATGTGGCACAAGTATAAATGCTTGTTTGGGTAATTAAGGTCTTCCCTTTAGATTCAGAGCTCTTTCAAGTCTAGGATCGTGTCTGTCTTACTCATCACTGTGTACCCTGCCACAGAATATGTGTTCAGTACATACTTTCAGAGTAAATCAGAGACCTTTCCTAACCCTAAAGACTGTGACATTTTGTGGAAATTTGCCCCCTCTACCCCCCTTTTTTTTAAAGATGACCGGTAAGGAGATTTTAACTCTTGGTGAGCTCTCCCAGGTGAGCTAACCAGCCATCCCTATATAGGGATCCGAACCCACAGCCTTGGTGTTATCAGCACCGCACTCTCCCAAGTGAGCCATGGGAAGGCCCTAAAATTTGCCTATTTTTTAAACTCAGTTTTCTTCTACCTACTTGTAACTAGTTGCCAGATAAAAAAAACCTCTTTCTGGGGCCGGCCCGGTGGCGCACTGGATAAGTGCGCCACTTGGGAAGTGCGGCGGCGCTCCCGCCCGAGGGTTCGGATCCCACATACAGACCGGTTCCCGCTCACTGGCTGAGTGAGGCGCGGGAGCAACACCGAGGGTTGCAATCCCGTTGCCGGTCCCCGGTCCGGTATGGGGGCAACACTGAGGGTTGCGATCCGTTGCCGGACACAGAAAAAGACAAAAGACAAAAAAATAAAATAAAAAATAAAAAACCTCTTTCTGGAGAGTGAAATCTGATATCCTAGAGTTAAGATCTGTAGGAGTATATTGGGAGATTGAGTGCCCCAGTTACGGGAATCTCCTTTGGAAAGGCATTCTGAGTTCTGTGGTAGGGTATATTTTTGATAATTTGAGTGCAGGAACATTTCTCTATATACTGTTATCACTGCTTCATGACTATACTAAATTAAGTAATGTAATGATACCTTCATAAACTCTTCTTCCATTTTGTGTAAGTGCCAAAATATGCAAATAATTTATCTTTACTTCCCATTTTGTGTATATGTAAAAATTCCTTAAAGCATGTAATTGAAATATTTAGTTTCTAAACATAAAATTATCTTGATTTTTGCTGGACTAAACATGTGATTTACATCCGGGTAAAACACTCAACATAACTACTTCTTGCCTTAATTGTTCCCATATGCTTATTTTTAATGATTGAGAACTTTTCAGTATTTCTTTTTTCAATGTATAAAAATGATCTATACATTTTCTATGACTGAAAGTATGTATTTTAGAAATCAGTTCAGTTCGATGTATTCCTTTATAAAAGGTCTTATAATGATTATGAAAATTATTTCACTGTGCAATCTCATTTTTTAATAAGATTTTGAGAAGACTTTTTTTGCTAGGTGTTTATGTGTAATACAGGTGGGAATAAGGCCACCTACCCTCAGGAGTTTATTGCCCTAGTATTGTAGACTTTTAGATGAACGACTAATTTATACTATAGTAGAATATAATTCAAGTAGAGCTGTAAGAATCACTAAGATTTCAATGTTTGTGTTTGAAGAATAGCAATAGTTAAGTCAAGTGTAAATAGTGATGGAGTTATATGTAGAGTGACACATAAGTATTCAAGAATGGTTGGGCTGGCTGGTTAGCTTAGTTGGTTAGAGCTCAGCCTTGTAACACCAAGGTCACAGGTTTGCATCCCTGTACCAGCCAGCCACCAAAAAATACAAAACAAATAAACAAAAAAAGAATGGCAGCTCTTACATTTTCCAGAGCAAAGAAGGAGGGTAAGTGTGCAGTGTTTAAGGAGGCAAAATTAGAAATGAACATTGGTGATAGATTTTAGAGGGTTATGAACAACAGGGGGAGCCAGTTGGCTTTTTTTCTGTAGGCTTTTGAGAGCCATTGAAGACCTCACACCAGTGGCATGGCCTGATCAGTTAGATGTTTTGGCAAGGTAGTTCTGGTTTTCTACGTGTGTGTGTGTGTGTGTGTGTGTATTTTTTTTGTCTTTTACATAATTTTTATTTTGCTGGTTCTGTACCATTTTTTCAATGCTAGTTTTTAATCAGTATATGTACATATTAAAAGTAGAATTGTAAATGAATTTGGGACAAAAAGTATTGTACTTCTGAGCTTATTGTGGTTGGGACTAAGTTAAAATATAGATTCCATGTAAAGATACTTGCAATCCCAATCAAAAGAAGGAATGGATATGAAACACAATGGAGTTAAAATAATTAGGACTGTGCTATTAAATGGATGTAAGGTATGAGGAAAAAGGGGGAAGTAAAGCAAATTAAACTATGGATAAGGTAAACTGGTATAGAGGATGATCATGCTATAAACTAGAAACATGGAACAAAGGCACACTTAGTGTGTGTTATAGAAGGTAGTGGAGGTATAATGAATTCAGTTTTAGGCCACTTTTAGTTTGGTAGACATATACATTGGGACATATACATTGTTCTGAGTTACAAGCCATTGCAGATAGTCACGGCTGTGGATGAAAATGTAGGAATTATCTGTGCAGTGCTACTAACTGAAGTTGTGGGGAGGAGGAGATTTCTTAAGAGAATTTACTGCCAGTAAAGAATCTTGAGGAACTCTTTTTAATTAAATACAATCAAGTATATGCTTCATATATATTAGGTTTGCAATTATGTGTTCCTTATTTTTCTCCTTTTTAAGGGTTAGGTGAAAGTGAAAAAAAAGTGAGATGTTGAGACACTGAGTGAGAGGAATAGGATCTCGGAAGTGATCATTAAGACAGGTTGTAAAGTTAAGTAGGATGAGTACTTGATACTGTTTTGTTGGACTGTGGGAAGGTTGTTGGTTATCCTCAGTGGAGTAACTTCAATAGGAGTTATAAGGAAGAGGCAGAGTTTCATATGCTGACAATAACACAGAAGGTCAGAAAGCAGAGAATGGAAATTTAAGAAGATTGAGATATAGTAACTTGAAATCCTTTCAGGTAAAAGTTAAGTGAGTTAACTTTTTAACACTTACCATGAGTCATGCCTTGAGAAAGGTCACTTTTATGAACTAATTGACCATATTAAAAACTAATTTGGTAAACCTGAAGGGAAAAAAGACCACCTCTTAACTAAAATAAGAATAAAGGAAAAATACTTTGCATTTACTTATGTGTCCTTCAACAAATTACTTAACTCTTCTGGGTCATCTGCTTAAATGGGGCTACATGTGATAACCTGTTTCATTACATTATAGTGAGGATGCAAAGAGTTAATATATGTAAAATTTTTAGAGCAGTGCTTGGCACATAATAAAATTGCTTAATAAGTAATAGCTATTATTACTATTGGGAAAAGTTTCAATATGGTCATATTGTTGTTACAGTACATGGTGCTGATAGGTAGCTGCAGGATGGATCGCATTCTCACTGCTAATAAAGAAGCTTCTGTTTATCCTAATTACATGAAAGACACTTGATATTTTTCATTAGAATCTCAGATTACTTAACGGAATCTACTTTTTACTGAAGTTGAAAATAGATGTAACATTCTTTTTTTTTTATTGTCTTTTTGTCTCTTTTTTCGTGTCCGGCAACGGATCGCAACCCTCAGTGTCGCGCCCGTACCGGACCGGGACCGGCAACGGGATCGCAACCCTCGCTGCTGCATCCGCACCTCGCTCAGCCAGTGAGCGGGAACCGGTCTGTATGTGGGATCCGAACCCTCGGTGGGAGCGCCACGGCGCTCCCAAGCGGCGCACTGTAGCAGTGCGCCACCGGGCCGGCCCTAGATGTAACATTCTGTTTTGAATAAAAGCAGAAATCTTGCCCTTAAAGTGTCATGAGACGTTTTTCATTGTGAAGTCCTGATCCAGTAGGCCCAGCTCTAGCATTTAGTAGGATAAGCCCTATCCTGGAAGTCATATCTTTAGGAAGTCCTTGAGACAAAATCTTGAGAACTTGTAGGTGATCAGCCTCAGTATCCTCACATATGCACTGGAGCTATGTATGTTTTAGTGTTATAACTTTCAGATGATCTGGTTTAGTTGAAAGGACATTATGCACTGGAAGACGTTAGGCGTATGAAACATTGCTCTTGATTTTTCTTTTCACCTAATGTTATGGCAAAGTGATCAGGTTAGGAGTTCTCTATCATTATCCCACGTATTAGCCAACTCTGTAACTGCACTGCCATTTCTAAAGTTATTTGGTGATGTGGGTCTCCTGTAATACTACCGTTTTAAGCGTTACAGCAGTTAGCAGAGGCTGTGTGTTAGTCTGCATATCATCATGTTTAATTGGGAGAACTTTTGAAGGTACATGGAGGCTTTTTTTTTGCTGAAAAACTGCTCCAATAAGAACAGCTGGCTTATTTCCAAATACAGGGGGGTAGTTTAGACAAGTAGACGATCCCAGTAAGAATTGGAGTTATGTGCTTGAGGAGAGCTGTGGAGAAGCACGAAGTGGTCTCATGGTTTGCCTAATGTCTATTTAGGAAGAAGTTGATAAGGTATTTGAAGCTTGTGAATAAGCTGGATTGAGAGTTAAAATGCATTTAGAGCCTGAACTGCTAGTAATGAAAATTAGGCCGAAAATAGAATGTATATATATTTAACAATAATCATCTTGTAATGGTAGATGAAATATTGAGTATTCAAAACTATCTTAGAGAAAATGCATATTCAAGTATCATAGATGTTTTTTGTATTAACAGGAACAGGAATAAAATATAAGGAACATTTGTAAATTTTCACTGAAGGAGGAAAAGAATGTTTGATAAAACTTACCGGCATTTGCTATAATTCATTCATTTTGCAGAGTTAATGCTCGTATGTCTTGAATAGTGGCTGCATAACAGGCCCTATGCTGAGAGCTGCACATACATTATCTAAATTAACCCACATAATGGAATACCTCCATTTTATAGAAATAGAAATTAATTCTGCTTCTAATGGGTAGCAGAATTAAGATTCAAACCCAGAGATGGGCTGTCTGGTTAGCTTAGTTGGTTAGAATGTGGTGTTATAACACCAAGGTCAAGGGTTCAAATCCCTGTACCATCTAGCTGCAAAAAAAGAAAAGATTCAAACCAGGGTTGTCAGACTCCACAATACATGCTATTATCAGTACACTGTAATGAGGTACAATTGTAGAGACCATATTTCAAAGTTTTATAACCAAAAGTCACTCTTTGAACAGTGTTATACAGTATAATAATTTTAAAAGTCCCACTTTTAATGTGCATTAAAAGTTTTTATTTAGAAGTATTTCAACTGATTGCTGTTTATGAATAATATGCAAACTGCATTATTGTTTTCTTCTCTCAAGATGTTTTTTCACGGATGCCCCTCATGAATGGCCTTATTGGACCTAGTCCTCATCTCCCACATAATTCTTTGCCTCCTGGAAGCGGACTGGGAACTTTCTCTGCTATAGCACAATCCCCTTATACTGATGCCAGGTATTTAAAAGCCTTAAATTACACTCATTTCTGTTGTACTTATGTATAAATTAGTCTGTTTCAATTATTGTGAGTGATATTATTGTATGTTGCATTTGGGTTTTTTTTTTTTTTTAATTTTTGCTAAAAATAAACATTACTTTTAGCTACTTTGTAATAAGTTGTAATTATTGTGAGTGATATTATTGTATGTTGCATTTGGGTTTTTTTTTTTGTTTTTTTTTTTAATTTTTGCTAAAAATAAACATTACTTTTAGCTACTTTGTAATAAGTTGTAATGAAAGGCTCACTTGAGCATAGTATCAGAAAGTTATGTTGTGTTTATGAAGGGAACATGTTTATTTTTTTTGCCAGGGATAAAAACTCCTCATTTACTCCCATGGCTAGTGATCCTAACAGCTCTTGGGTATCATCTGCTCCCACTGTGGAAGGAGAAAATGATACGATGTCGAATGCCCAGAGAAGCACACTTAAGTGGGAAAAAGAGGAGGCCCTGGGTGAAATGGCCACAGTAGCACCAGTCCTCTACACGAACGTTAATTTCCCCAACTTAAAGGAAGAATTCCCTGGTAAGACGTGGATGTGTTATTGCTATTTATTTTAAGAACATTCTGTCATTCTTTTCTTACTGCAATAGAGAGCCCTTGTATCTTCTTACTGATTTTCATCTTGTATGATTGTCCACAGTGTGAAATTTCTCTAGATATCTAGAAACATCTTGGCGTTTTCTTAGTCCTACACTTTGTACCTTTGTATATTTGCATATTTCCCAAAAGTTAGTTTCAATTAATGAAATGGTTAGTTTTTCCAGCTCCTAGCAGTGCTTATAAATATGCAGTGTTGTGTAATTCCAGAAGAAAAAAAATTTCTAGAACAGAAACTGTCGTTTAATTAAAAGTATTATTAGGCAAAGTCGGAGTCAATTCTTAGTAGTGTTTGTATTGAAACCTAATTCAGTATTATTTACCCTTCTTCCCTTCTTACCTTCCTGGACTGTCTGGCTATTACCACTGCCTGTTTGCAAAAAGTGGATGATACAGTAGTACTGTTTTTGAAATTTTTGATTAAGCAGTGGATGAAGCATTTGGATTAATGAAATGTCTACTATTGAATATTTCCAAGCAATGCTGTTTTGTCATTTTGAATTCATGTTGTCAAACAAACCAGGATTGAAAAAGTTATTCAAACTCTGTTTTGCAATTGTTTCCCATCTGTCCGTTAACTCATAAGCTCCTTAAAATTGCTAGAGGGATGCCTAGAAATTATCCCCATTTTTTAGATGCCTTTTTGGTTAGGTCTCCCTTGTTTATTCACTGTAGATAGAAGTAAATCAAATGCTTCTATATCTAACAATAGAAATCAGTGGGATTGTTAAAGCAATCCCCATTCTTCAACATTTTTACTACACTTATAGAGAGATGAACATTTATGGTTATTTCAAGTCATTTTGTGTCAGCAAAAGTTGTTCTTATAGCAAAGCTGTGGTTTTCTTAAAAAAAATTAATTTTCTTTATTTTACTTAGCATTTTGTGGAGTTCTTGATTCACACTGTTAAGGCTGTTGGTCTACTAACTGATTTTCATTTTCACTGACTTTATAGAAGCTTTTTTTATATATATATATAGAGAGAGAGAGTAAATCATTTCTATATTTATTAACTGTTGATCTCACCCAAGTTCATTTTGTATACTGTCATTATACAGAATTTTAAAGAAATGGTTTTAAATCATTACTTTTCCATGTGTTTGTTGTACACAAATGCTGGTGAGATGCTCAGAACTATGGTTACTTCCTTCAGGTCAAATTGATAGACTTCTAATTAGTGCCGATGTTTGATGAAACTTTTACTTTGGTTCTGGTAGTATCTTTACATGGTTGAGGGAATTTATTATGCTTGGCTTACATTTATTTTGGTGCTTAGCCCCTTGAGCTTAAAAACTTCCCAATTCTACAAGCCAGGTTGTTAATAAGGCAGCACTTCATTCAGAAAATATTTGTTTGTCCTACTGTGTCCCAGGAACTTTGTACTTTATAAAGAACTTTATATAGGAGTACTACATTATGAAAATATTGCCTGAGTAAGATTAACTGGCACCAGTTCATCAACATTTTTTATTATAATACATTATTACTGTGGCTCTTAAAACATGCATGCTCTGTTCTTTTGCTGCAGACTGGACTACTAGAGTGAAGCAAATTGCTAAGTTGTGGAGGAAAGCAAGCTCACAGGAAAGAGCACCATACGTGGTATTTAAAAAACTCCTATGTGTTAATATCTTTAAGCACAATACTTACTTGGATCTTACTTTATTGTCTTAGGATAATAAAAAGAATTTCCACTGCAGAAAATGCTTGTTAATACTTGTATAATTAACAAGCAACTTTATTTTTATAGTGATTTTATAGTGATTTCCTTAATATAGAGTGTGACATTTTTATGAGCTAGTTAACAGAACCAGGATGTTGAAGATTGGGAAAATTGGCTATTTTAGGGGCACGTTTAATTCATTTCACTTTAAAATTGTTTTATTTCCTCAGCAAAGAGTGTTAAATTTGGAGACTGGATTAGTGTGCCTCAGTTTCTACCACAGTAAGCTCTTTTCTTGTTAGGTGTAATAAAGAGTCTTTGTGCATATTGAAAGAGACATACCTAGACATCCCTAAGGAGCTTTTGAAACAAGATCTTTGCCAGGTATTATTAGGGAATTTTATAAGATTCACAGTTCAGATGGTGAATTGTTTTCTCCCAAAGAGCCAAATTAAGATTGTCATCTGGTACCAAATACTTGCTTTCAATTTAAAGTATATTAAATCTGTATTATTGTTTTGATAAATATATCCAGTTATTTTTCAACTTGATTTTCAATGTACATATTTTTAGTTATAATTGCTTTGGTTAGAGCATATATATTTATGGTTTTTTGATGTGTTGATGTGTGTTTTGTTTTATTTTGACTTTAGTAAGGATTTAATGACGGTATTTTTAGTGTTTCTCAATGATTTTCTTTAATGATAAGTTTCAAATGTCCAGATTTTTTATTTTGAGGATTGATTTGATACTTTCATCTTCTCTAAATTGAGGGAGATGTTAATTCTTCCATTTTCTAAGGATGTGTTAAGAAAATTAGGATAGAAAAAAATGTGATCATACCTGGATCTAGCCCGATTCAAATACATAGATAGAAACGTGTTCTCAACTGATAGGTAACATGCACTATAAAAGGAGAAGGTTTAGTGTCCAAATCTTTTCTTGGGAGAGGCACTAAGTTCTAAAGGATAATATTTTATCTCTTTTCAGCTAATTAACCTAGCTTTTTCCTGCTTTTATATGATACAGTTTAACATAGTTTTATTTTATTTTTATCTTAAAATATGTTAACATATATTGGAGAATAATTTTTTTCTCCTTTTGTCAAAGCAAAAAGCGAGAGATAACAGAGCTGCATTACGCATTAATAAAGTACAGATGTCAAATGATTCCATGAAAAGGCAGCAACAGCAAGACAGCATTGATCCTAGCTCTCGTATTGATTCAGATCTTTTTAAAGATCCATTAAAGCAAAGAGAATCGGAACACGAACAGGAATGGAAATTTAGACAGGTACGGAGTTTTTGGGTCATTTGCTTTTTTAAATTGTGTTTTTACTTTTTGAGAAGTGAGGTATTTATGTCATGATTTCAGAATATAGTTCTTAGTTCAACATGAAAATTTGATTTAAAATAGACTTGTTTCCCTTTTAAGTAAAATACATTTAAATTGATTTGGGAAGTTTATTGAAATATTATAAATAGTATACTGTGCTAGACATAAACGGGGCATGCTATGATGAATAATCTCTCTTCTTTACGAAGTTATAATACAGTACGGGAGGAATCTGGTAGCTGCTGACATCATACAAATTAATTTTCTATTGCTTTTTCCCCACCATGATAGTTAATTTCTTCTTCAATCATGTGATTGCTTTTTCTTCTCTATTTTAACAGCAAATGCGTCAGAAAAGTAAGCAGCAAGCTAAAATTGAAGCCACGCAAAAACTGGAGCAGGTAAAAAACGAGCAGCAGCAACAGCAGCAGCAGCAGCAGCAACAGCAGCAGCAGTTTAGTTCTCAGCACCTTCTGGTGCAGTCTGGTTCTGATACACCAAGTAGTGGAATGCAGAGCCCCTTGACACCTCAGCCTGGCAATGGAAATATGTCTCCTGCACAGTCATTCCATAAAGACCTGTTTACAAAACAGCTACCCAACACCCCTACTTCTACATCTGCAGATGATGTGTTTGTAAAACCACAAGCTCCACCTCCTCCTCAAACCCCGTCCCGAATTCCCATTCAGGAGAGTCTTTCTCAGTCTCAGACTTCTCAGCCGACTTCACCGCAAATGTTTTCAACTGGATCTTCTAACTCCCGACCACCATCTCCTGTGGATCCTTATGCAAAAATGGTTGGTACCCCTAGACCACCTACTGGGGGCCATGGTTTTCCCAGAAGAAGTTCTGTTGCGCCAGTGGAAAACTGTGTGCCTTTATCATCAGTATCTAGGCCCATTCAAATGAGTGAGGCAGCAGCAGATAGGCCATCCCCAGTTAGAGATTTATGTTCTTCCTCCACGACAAATAGTGACCCCTATGCAAAGCCTCCAGACACACCCAGGCCTGTGATGACAGATCAGTTTCCCAAACCCTTGGGCCTACCCCGGTCTCCTGTAGTTTCAGAACAAACTGCAAAAGGTCCTCTAGCAGCTGGAACCAATGATCACTTTACTAAACCACCTCCTAGGGCAGATGTGTTTCAAAGACAACGGATATCTGACCCATACACACGGCCCTTGTTGACACCTGCACCTCTTGATAGTGGTCATAGTGGTCCTGGACCTTTCAAGACTCCAATGCAGCCTCCTCCATCCTCTCAGGATCCCTATGGGTCAGTGTCACAGGCATCAAGGCGATTGTCTATAGACCCTTATGATAGACCTACTTTGACACCAAGACCTGTAGATAATTTTTCTCATAGTCAGTCAAATGATCCATATAGCCAGCCACCCCTAACCCCACATCCAGTGATGAGTGAATCCTTCGCCCATCCTTCAAGGGCTTTTTCCCAGCCTGGAACCTTATCAAGGCCAACATCTCAGGACCCCTATTCCCAGCCCCCAGGAACTCCACGACCTGTTGTAGATTCTTATTCCCAACCCTCAGGAACAGCTCGGTCCAATCCAGACCCTTATTCTCAACCTCCTGGAACTCCCCGGCCTACCACTATTGATCCATATAGTCAGCAGCCACCAACCCCAAGGCCATCTACACAGACAGACTTGTTTGTTTCATCTGCAACTAATCAGAGGCACTCTGATCCATACGCTCATCCTCCTGGAACACCTAGACCTGGAATTTCTGTTCCTTACACTCAGCCACCAGCAACACCAAGGCCAAGGATTTCAGAGAGTTTTCCTAGGTCCTCAATTACAAGACCAGTCCGCCTGCCAAATCAAGATCCTTTCCTACAAACAGCCCAAAACCGAGGACCAGCTTTACCTGGCCCTTTGGTAAGGGCACCCGATACGTGTTCCCAAACACCTCGGCCACCAGGACCTGGTCTGTCAGACACATTCAGCCGAGTTTCCCCATCTGCTGCTCGTGATCCCTATGATCAGCCTCCAATGACTCCAAGATCTCAGTCTGACTCTTTTGGAACAAGTCAAGTTACTCATGATGTTGCTGATCAGCCAAGGCCTGGATCGGAGGGGAACTTCAGCACATCTTCAAACTCTCCAATGAATTCTCAAGGCCAACAATTTTCCAGTGTCTCCCAACTGCCTGGACCTGTACCGACTTCAGGAGTAGCTGATACACACAATACTGTAAATATGTCTCAAGCAGATACAGAGAAACTGAGACAGGTAAACATTGTATGTTCTCAGATGTTTTAAATTATTTGGATAAGCTATTCATGTCATCAAACTGAGTAACTTCTACTAGGTGTTAAAGTTCCTTTTTTTTTTTTTTTATTCTGTAGACTTTGTTATACTGCAAAGAACAATGCAACTGGTAAAATTAACACCAGTCAAATTTGATTTATTCTGTATCCAATTTCAATCTTCATGAATTTGTAGGGATTCCTTAAATATGAAAGTTTTCAGTTTCATGATAGTTGTCTGGCAAGGAGAAAGACCCAAATCGTCAATTTACTTTTTATAATCTATCAAATAGTTAAACTTAAGTTGCGTTTTATCAAACTTTGATAATCTTCATGAATTTGTAGGGATTCCTTAAATATGAAAGTTTTCAGTTTCATGATAGTTGTCTGGCAAGGAGAAAGACCCAAATCATCAATTTACTTTTTATAATCTATCAAATAGTTAAACTTAAGTTGCGTTTTATCAAACTTTGAAACATTTTGATATTCTGAACGTTACCATAGCCACATAATGAAAGCATTAGCATTAGGATTTAAAAAGCTACTCACCTTTAAAAAGCCATTTGTTATCATAAATCCCAGTGGTTCTTGTTTCTTTTCACTTAGCGGCAGAAGTTACGTGAAATCATTCTTCATCAGCAACAGCAGAAGAAGATTGCAGGTCGACAGGAAAAGGGGACTCAGGATTCACCAGCAGTGCCTCATCCCGGACCCCTTCAACACTGGCAACCCGAGAATATCAACCAGGCTTTCTCTAGACCTCCACCTCCCTATCCTGGGAGCATTCGGTCTCCCATTGTCCCTCCTCTAGGACCTAGATATGCTGTTTTCCCAAAAGATCAGCGTGGACCCTATCCTCCTGATGTTGGTGGTATGGGAATGAGACCTCATGGATTTAGGTAATGCTTTTAATTTCCTGCCAAGTTTAAATTGCTGTTAGAAGAAGGAAATAAAGAAATGAAGTTACTATTAATCAGGAAGTTGTTGCTGCTTTCTAGTTCTTTCTTCCCTTTGAGATATGATCAGTGTTATTGTCAACCAGTGAGAAGTCATGGACTTTTTTTCCTTTTAAGAACTGTAAAGACTCCAAAAACATTCCTATTTTAAAATTATTAAGAGTATTAGCATTATCTTGCAGCCATAGTGATGTAATTTATCATACCAGTCAAATCACGTCCTCCAAATGCCCTTTCCACATACAGGCAAAGCCTCCTGTGACATGAGGACTGATGGGACTTGTCCTCTCCCTGAATTTCTACTCTTTTAATTTATGTTGTAAATTATTTGTGGAGATTTCTTGTTTGAAAGGATGTTTTGGGCCGAGCCCGTGGCGCACTCGGGAGAGTGCAGCGCTGGGAGCGTGGCGGTGCTCCCGCCGCGGGTTTGGATCCTATGTAGGGATGGCCGGTGCGCTCACTGGCTGAGCACAGTGCGGTCAGTCTCAAAAAGGACAAAAAAAAAAAAAAAGAAAAAGAAAAGAAAAGAAAGGATGTTTTTCTTTAGGAACTCTCCATGGAGAAATAGGGTTGTAAAGTTAGTGTGATGATGAATCACGACCTTGTTTCCTTTTTCAAAGTGGCTGGTAGAAAGGCCAAAGCCAAGCTTATGCCCTAGTTACAATGAGGAGATAGTTCTTTAAGTTATACTTTTAGTTTTCTAAGATATGCTTTTTAGTCTTACACCTAATTCTGTTACATTCTTACCCTTATTTTCCTTTTTTCTTCCACCTCAGTTATAATTTATGCCTGTTATTCTGTATTTCTTTGTAAGTTGCCTTGTAATACTTTGTAGAATGAGGTACAATATAAATACAAGTAGTCCTATAATTTATTCATTTACTCAGTCTTTACAGATGATGCCTACCCCCCCTCTTTTTTTTTAAAAATCTTTTACTACCTCCTGTTCTTCTCATTGCTTTCAAGCAAGTAGGTTTATTTGGTCTATCCAGTTGTCACGCCTGTGCCTTTGCATTCCTATAAGTCTCTCTGGTCCAATTTGTTAGGCTTCCTGTCTTCACTCAAGAATCCCCCCAAGTCAGCTTCATCCACAGAGCCTCCCTAAATATTGATTAAAAAAAAAAAACAGCCCTTACTCAAAAGCTTTTGTAGCGTTGTTCTTATTTTTGAATAGTTGATTCCGTTTGCTTGGTTCCTTTGTCGTCATGGAGCTCAGAGGTGGTAGGGTTCTTAGCAAAAACTCACTTCAGCCCTTACTCAAAAGCTTTTGTAGCGTTGTTCTTATTTTTGAATAGTTGATTCCGTCTGCTTGGTTCCTTTGTCGTCATGGAGCTCAGAGGTGGTAGGGTTCTTAGCAAAAACTCACTTGCATATGAATACTTAAAAGTATTCATATACTTTTTAACACTGATAATTTTTTTCTAAGTTGTATTTGGCAACGGTAGTTTTATATTTTTTGCAACAGTAATTTTGTGTCTACAGTTTTATCTGAAACTTCTTTAACTTTTTTCCAACCTAACTCTAAATTCAGCATAATGCTTACCTGTTTGCTTTTTTTTAGATTTGGTTTTCCAGGAGGTAGCCATGGTACCATGTCAACTCAGGAACGCTTCCTTGTGCCTCCTCAACAAATACAAGGACCTGGAGTTCCTCCACAGTTAAGAAGATCAATATCTGTAGATATGCCTAGGCCTTTAAATAACTCACAAATGAGTAATCCGGTTGGACTTCCTCAGCATTTTCCACCACAGAGTCTGCCAGTTCAGCAGCATAACATACTGGGCCAAGCATTTATTGAACTGAGGCATAGGGCGCCTGACGGAAGGCCACAGCCGCATTTCAGTTCTTCCCCTGGCAATGTTATAGAGACACCTTCTCATTCAAGACATGGAAACTTCATTCCCCGGCCAGACTTTGCAGGCCCTAGACCTACAGACCCCATGAGACGACCTCCCCAAGGTCTACCTAATCAGCTTCCTGTGCATCCAAATTTGGAACAAGTGACACCATCTCAGCAAGAGCAAGGTCATCCTGTTCATTCATCTTCTATGGTCATGAGGTCTCTCAGTCATCCCTTAGGTGGTGAATTTTCAGAGGCTCCTCTGTCAACATCTACACCAGCTGAAACAACATCTGATAGTTTACAGATAACCAGTCAATCTTCTGAGGGTCTCGAAGAAAAACTCGATTCTGATGATCCTGCTGTGAAAGAACTGGATGTGAAAGATCTTGAGGGGGTTGAAGTCAAAGATTTGGATGATGAAGATCTTGAAAATTTAAATTTAGATACCGAGGATGGCAAGGGAGATGAATTGGATACTTTAGGTAATTTGGAAACTAATGATCCCAACTTGGATGACCTTTTAAGGTCAGGAGAGTTTGATATCATTGCGTATACAGATCCAGAACTTGACCTAGGAGATAAGAAAAGCGTGTTTAATGAAGAACTAGACCTTAATGTTCCAATTGATGATAAGTTAGATAAACAGTGTGTATCTGTTGACCCCCCAAAAAAGGAGCAAGAAGACAAAACTGTGGTTCTTCCTGATAAACATTCGCCACAGAAAAAATCTACTGTTACTAATGAGATAAAAACAGAAGTACTATCTCCAGGTTCTAAAGAGGAAGCCAGATGTGAAGTTGAAAAAAGTGGTGAGACTAAGGACAATGTTGGCACTCTCTGCTCACAGGCATCTGCTCAAACAGACCTAAATGAGGGAGAAAAGACTTCTGTGCAGCCTTGTGATCCAGATCTACTTGAGAAAAGAACTAATCAAGAAACTGCTGGCTCCAGTGCAAACGTCATTCAAGGATCCACTCAAGTGCCTGCTCAAGACGTGATAAACTCTTGTGGCATAACTGGATCAACTCCAGTCCTGTCAAGTTTACTTGCTAATGAAAAGTCTGATAATTCAGACATTAGGCCATTGGGATCTCCACCACCAACTCTGCCAGCCTCACCATCTACTCATGTGTCGAGTTTGCCTTCTACTTTACTGGCCCCACCTGGCCATGTTTTGGATAATACAGTGAATTCTAATGTAACTGTGGTCTCTAGGGTAAATCATGCTTTTTCTCAGGGTGTGCAGGTAAATCCAGGATTTATTCAGGGTCAGTCGATAGTTACCCACAATTTGGGGACAGGAAAACCTACAAATCAAACTATGCCTCTAACAAGTCAGTCTGTACCCCAGCAGCTAATGATTCCTCAAACATTAGCCCAGCAGAATAGAGAGAGGCCCCTCCTTCTAGAGGAACAACCCCTACTTCTGCAGGATCTTTTGGATCAAGAGAGGCAAGAACAGCAGCAGCAAAGACAGATGCAAGCCATGATTCGGCAGCGGTCAGAACCGTTCTTCCCTAACATTGGTAGGAATTCCCTTGAGTCTCAACATATATTACTATGGGCATGAGGGGGGCATGCAGTGTGCTTATGAAATTTTATTATTAAAATTACATTTGTAATAAAGCAGAGTTTTCCTGTTCTTCCATGAGCTTTAAAATGAAAGCAATTAAGAGTTTTAGATTTCTTCCTGGTAAATCAAGAAATTCAAAACTGTGAGTTGCAGGGCCGGCCGGGTGGCACACTGGATAGTGCGCCGCTTGGAAAGCGCGGCGGTGCTCCCGCCCGAGGGTTTGGATCCCACATACAGACCGGTTCCCGCTCACTGGCTGAGCGAGGCGCGGGAGCAACACCGAGGGTTGCGATCCCGTTGCCGGTCCCCGGTCCGGTACGGGGGCAACACTGAGGGTTGCGATCCGTTGCCGGACACGGAAAAAAGACAAAAAAAAAAAAACAAAAAACTGTGAGTTGCAGACCACAATTCCATTCTTTAAGTTATTAATAGAAACTAGAGTCTTCTTTTTAATGCCTACCTTCCAACTATTGTTGGCATGTATTTTCAGAGTCATGGAAAAAGAAATTTAAGGAAATTATGATAGAAATAAAGCTTCCTACTGTCCTTTTGTATATAAAAAGTGGTTGGCAGTTTTTGGCCATATAAACCTCTTTATTTCTGATAGCTTACTAATTTTAAAAACAACAACAAAAGCAATGCAGTCAAAATGCTCAATGCCTCTAAGAACAAGAATTAGTAATCAAGGACACATATCCACGGAATGCTTTCTTCTAAACAGTAAAATTGACATTCTGTCCTATATACAGTACCAATTTCATCATATTGCTCCCTTTTTTCCATTTACATGCGAAGAGGTCTTTTCTCAGTAGCCTCTTATTGTGGAATTATACCCTCAAGAAACTGATATATTATTCTTTTAAGAGTGATAACTAATTTTGTGGAATTCCTTAGTATCAGAAATAACTGCAAATTCTCTTTCATGATGTTACTCTACTAAAGAAGCCATTCTGATTAGCATTGCAAAAGTTGGTTGAAAGGAAAAGTTGGTATTGCTTTAGATTATTGCTATGATCTGTCTTAAATTTGACAGATTTCTTGTTTAAATTCCTGCAGGACTAAGGTATTCAAGCATGCTTCAATTATGGATTACTAAAATGTGATTAAATTCTGGATAAGGTTGTGAACCATCTCATAATTATTTATCTAGTACAGCAACCTATAATGATTATTAAATAATAAGGTGTGAGCGTCTATAAATTACATAACGTTTGTGATACTTGAATTACCCTTTAGTGTACCTTGAACCAAATACTATGAAGTAAGTAACTTTAAAATATATTTCTTCTTTAGATTTTGATGCAATTACAGATCCTATAATGAAAGCCAAAATGGTGGCCCTTAAAGGCATAAATAAAGTGATGGCACAGAACAACCTGGGCATGCCGCCAATGGTGATGAGCAGGTAGGTGGGGTGCTTCAGAGAGTGCAGACATGCATGGAATTGACTAGTTCCTAGAAAGAGTATACCAAAACTCAAAAGCCTGCATTCCAGGAATGAATGATAAATATTCAAATTGTGATGTCAGTTGGGTATAACCAGGTGTAAAATGCTATACCAGTGTGAAGAATTCATTTGACTTAATCAACCAGGAAATCTAAAGTATTAAAGTATGTTCCTTTTTAAATGCCTTTAGAATTGTTAATACTAAGAGATTTTTTTTAGTTAAGATACTGAGGGATTAAGGGCAACTGAATTCAGCTCTAAAATAAAATGTCCCGAAACTGATTTTGAATCAGAAAAAAAAAGTCATGAGGAGTAGATAAGAGGACCATTGGAAGTTAGGAGTTGGATAGTATGTAAGTCTTCTCATTCTTAGTAGAACAGTGGAAATTACGCATTAAAGAAGAGTTTGACTATCTGAATTTCTGAAATTAGAGGATTTATGCTCCCTAAGGGTAATTAACCATAGGGCAGTGTTTCTTAAACTTTGATCATGGACCACCAGCAGAATTATGTGATGATTTTTTTAAAAGTGCAGGTTTCTCTGCTGTACTCCAGACCTACTGAAATCAGAATATCTGGAGATGGTGCCTGTATGTCTGTATTTTTAGCAAGCGCCATAAATGATTATGTATGTTGCTGTTTGAGAACCTCTGTCAGTAGAGTAAGCATACAGCCTCAATTCAGCTTAATGCTCTTGTTGAAAAACTTTTTTTTGTAAGAAGCAGATGATTATGGAATTGAGTATAAAATCTACATGAATTTAAGATAAATATGATACTTCAAAGAAATTTGAATCCTTAAGGGTATATATAGTTCTTTTCAATTGTTGAGTTACTTTGGACATGGTTAAGAAGCATTTTGAGATCAAAGTAGAGTAGTGGCTTCTAATGATTTTCATTATCAAGCAGCATTTATTAACACTATTCCTCTATCACAGGGGTTCTTAATAAGCCTTTTTATGTCTTGAACCTTTTTGGCATTCCAGCCAAGCCTTTGAAATTCTTCTCAGAACGTTTTATATGGAGAAAACCAAGACATAGAATTATAAAGGAAATAACATATTTGAAATATAGTTAATAAAATATAATTAAATTTATAGTATATTTGCTGCTTAATGTACTAACAAACTTAGCAATAAGTCTAATAACTACCATAATTTCCAAGTAATGATGAATATAACTAATCTATCAGGTATCTGCAACACTTGATAGAAAAAATAATTTGTCTTTTATTGGTGACCATCATGGTACTGCTAATAATATTGTAGTTTGCTGCCTATAGTCAAGATAGAAGGAAATGCTAAATTTTATTTAGCACTTAGTTTAAAATACGAACCTCAGAATTAGAACTCTTTCAGCATCTGATGCTCTTTCAGTATCTATGTATATCTATGTGTATCAGCTCTTTCAGTATCTATGTATTTCAGTATCTGTGCCAGTCATTGACTCCGTGTATTGTTTACTCTTCTGCTGCATGCTTTGGAGAAGTGGAGGTGATAGTCCCTTCTTAGGGTAGTGTGATGTGTTCAGTGAGGATGATAGACAGTGAGTGATACTTGGATTAAGAGATCATTCTAGACCAGAGCTATAGCAGGGGGAGATGTGATAGATGAATCCAAAACCTGAGTAAAAAACTTAAAAGCATATATTCTAGACTTCAGTAGTAATTAAGTACTAATGTACAGTATTTGGAATTTATGTATATTTATTTGGAGTATATTTTGAAAATTGTATGTTGTGTGTATCTTGATATGTTAAAGCATTTGTTAACTCTAGAGGAAATATTTTCATATAAGCAGTAATGCTTCTGTGAAATTTTTGTAGTTTTAATTAGAATAAGTAATTTTTTCACTAATTGTTTTTAACCATGTAGATGTTTCTTGGATAGTCACTAACATTTTATTTTCTTAAACATCAGCTATAGAAATGTATGAAAAAGCATGAAACTTCCTAATTGAGATGTTATCTTTTGTTTTAGAATACAAAGTAGCTAAGCTGCCAATTAATGAATAATAAAGATTGGAACAAGAAAAAATTTTCTTAGGGTTTATGTAGTAAAACTAAATTTTCACCATATTTTTATCCTGAAGGCTTGAATTCGTTTTATTTTAAGGTACAGTGAGGCATAGAACAGAAAATAAACCTTCCGGAGTCAGCCCAGCAGACTCTTATTGCAGCCTTCTCCCCAGTCCTTGTCGGAAAGTTTCTTAATCTCTCTGAATCTTACTTTCATCCTAAGTAACACAAGGATGCTATGAGAATACACTTCCTACAGGTGCAGTGAGGATCAGATGTGCTCGGTGCACAGGAAAGGGGGCTTGTGTTTTCAATGAGAACGTTGTCCCTTCTCTTCCCTAGAAGAGAAAATTGTTAAGCACCTAAAATAATTTTAGATCTAAAGGCTCATCATTTGATACTTCGTTTTCACAGGTTCCCCTTTATGGGCCAGTCAGTGGCTGGAACACAGACCAGTGAGGGCCAGAACCTCGTCACACAGGCAATGTCTCAGGTAACGCTGTTTGCAATTGGTTACTCTGTTCCGCTCACCAAACCTATTCTTTATGGCGAGGGCCCTTCTAGAAAGTTGTAGTAGACTCAGAACACTGCCAAGGATTTATTATTAGCCCAGCAGAAATAAGGAATCTTCTTGTTTTCTTAAACAAAAGATAAATTAAGGTTAAAAATATTGTAATTTCTGAAAAGGCACTGTATACTTAAGAGTAGGAATCACTTGGAAGGAAATCAAATGCTTAGGGATTTTGGTTTTACTTTTATTTATTTTTAACTCCACAAAGACATTTTCATGTCCTGCATTTTGGAATTAGTCTGTTACATTCAATTTGTAAAACTGCTATCAACAGTACAAAATAATGATTTATGATCATTCTATTTAGATATATAGATAGTCCTGTTCTATTTCTCTTGGAATAATTCAGTTTTTTGAATATTTGTCATTTATAATCAGCTGTAATTGTAAATATTTGTGTTATATTAGTGCTAAGCAATGTCTGGAGAATTAAAACTGCTCATTTTGTATAGAACCTTTCTTCAGTGATTTAAAAAAAAAAAAATCTGCCTAGAAAAAAAAAGAAAGAGAGAGAGCTACCTACTATATGGCCTTTTGGAATTTTCTCTTTTGCCCTGCGGGTTAGGCTTTAGACTTATTCTAATAATGTTATCCTTTTCATTATTAAAAGAAGAAACAGATAAAAAATCTGCCTAGAAAAAAAAAGAAAGAGAGAGAGCTACCTACTATATGGCCTTTTGGAATTTTCTCTTTTGCCCTGCCGGTTAGGCTTTAGACTTATTCTAATAATGTTATCCTTTTCATTATTAAAAGAAGAAACAGATGCCATTTGATACAATGGAAAAAGCAGCCTTTGTAGCTGAGTTCCCCCCCCCCACATAACCCCCCCCAAAAACCAGAAAAACCCAGTTTCACTATGAATTTACTGTGCAACTTTGGGCAAGTTCTTTAACCTTTCTTTTCTGATCTGTGGAATGTTATAACACCTGCTTTGCAGTATTGCAAATATTGCACATAATACATTCTGGTCGCTAGTATCATTTACAATTGTTACCTTGTATACAGCTAACAGAACTTGTTACAACTGGGTAAATGGTTTTTCAAAATTAACTTAATCAGGTAGTTGCCCAGGAATTGTGAGATTAATAACTATGTATTCAATTACCCTGAAAGATACAAGACATTTAATTAGAAAATAAGACCCATGTTTTTAATTATTTTTCTTTTATTGTTTGTGCATGTTAGAGACATTAGTTCTTGGAAATAACTGTGCTATGGGGTGGCATTTAGTAAAAAATCTGGAACCTGTGTTTATAAGTCTGATTTTAGAGGAGAGCAGGTAGACTTCATCAAAAAGTGAAATTTTTATGTGGATCTCTAGCTTAGTATTAACAATATTTGATTTGCCCTAGTATTGTATGTCTGAGGAATAATACTGTGCCTCAAGTGTAATTGTTTTTTAACCAAAATCTAGAAAATATAGTAGTTCAGAGACAGTAATAAGTTTTCAGAAATTAAGTTGTCACCACTAAACTCATTTTACTTTTTATAAAAATCAAAACTTTATCTTAGAAAATGAAGGTATCTTAGAAAATTGTTTTTTCCTTCTATTTCTTTTTCTTTCTATTTAAAGTTTTATTTTTCCCTTTAACTGAAATGTGGAATAAACATATTTGTAAATTTTACTTATTTTAGGATGGCAGTATAACACATCAGATTTCTAGGCCTAATCCTCCAAATTTTGGTCCAGGCTTTGTCAGTAAGTATAAATCTAAGTTACATGTTTTCTGGGGATTGCTTGTTTGCACAATATTTGTATTGTTCTAAAAACCTGGAGTTAGTTTAGCTGTGTTATTTTAAACCTAAGTGCCCTCTTCTTTATTAAACATCACTGCCCTGTCAGGCATCTTTCTTCAAGGCATGTATTTTCATTGCTTTTCTTTCACTGTGCATGAAGTTAGAGATAAATGATTTGATACAAAAAAATTATCTTCCCCATTCTCTTCAATATTGTTGTTGCTGTTTTTCTATGTAGATTGGGCACTTTACAATCTATAGAATTAAACCACTTTTTGCTCTAATGATTGTCTGCCTAAATGACAAGGACACTAAATGGGAAAAACAAAGGGAATAGGCGTAGAAATAAGTTGGGTTAGCAGCATGGTGTGAAGGTCAAGTATGCAGGATGCCCCTGAATCCTTTCTAGTTATCTTCAGGGGGTCCTAAGGTGGTTCAGAATAGTATTTAAAGTTCTCCCTGAACTGAACCTTTCTGAAATCTTCAGACTGTTTAGCTAACTTTTTTTTCACCATTATTTTTCATTTTGCTTACCTCTGCTCTCCTGGTTCCAGAAACCAGAAAGGCTTTCCTTGCGGTAGGTCTCATTCTACCAGAAGCAGAACTTCTGAAATCTTGTGAAAAAGCCTGTTCTTGAAAAATGCCCTTCAAATTTGTTAGATTAGATTTCAAGTTCATACATGTACTGGAACTTCTGGGTTTAGGAACAAACCCAAAGTGATCTTTTGAAATTCCCCCTGCATTAATTATGATTATAATTCGAGTACATATTTGCATTAAAAACAAACTGCTGTAACCAACTGGCTTTTTCTGGCTTTATTGTGCCCATTGGCTTTGGTTGGATTCTTAATGTATGACAATATTCTGTTATTGTTGATGTTATTTTCAACTAATGTCCTTCTTGAAATTGTATTTATTCATTTCTTTGTCTTGTAGTGAGTTAAGAAGGTATATTCAGAATTTCACTACATAAGATGATCTTTTTTTTTTTTTTCCCCTGGGGAAAAAAGAGAAAAGTGCCCTTGCAGAGTGAAGAAGGGTATTGGCGCACGGTGAAGAGACGTTGCTATTTGGGGAGATAGTAATGGCAGTCATGGAAGTAGAAAAGAGTTTACTCCGTCCCCTATTTATAGAAGTATAAATTACAGAATTACCAAAAATTACCAAAGTTTTCAACTTATAGATTTCCTTTATAGAACACAGACTTCAAATTGGTCCTTTCTTAAACATTCTGGGTTCCCTCCCTCTCAGCTTCAGACATTTTTTTCACTATTAAGAAATACGGAAAACCTTATAAACAAGAAAATTATTATCATGGAAAATTATTATTACTCTGTGCTCTAGACTTTAATGAGATATGTCTTTGTCTCTTCAAAGTCTGTGAAGTTGAATTAATAAATGTATGTTTAACTTAATGTATAATTTGGTTTATGGGTTGGAGAATCTGGTATTTCAGTAGATAAAGGCATTCCATTAGATAAAAGTCTGCTTTTTGAAGATAGGATATTGTAGTATTTATAAATATTAAGTTAACCAGTATCCTAAGAATATGCATTCTCTGGCTTTCTCAAATATTTTGTTAAAATGTACTTTATAGTTACATAATGGTCCAATATTTAGTATTGTGTTTTCAAATTTTCTATTAAATGGTCATGGTGAAATTGTATTTTCCTACAAAATGGATTTGTGTAACTTTTATAATGTAGGACCCTTTAGAAAATTAACACAGATGAATTTTTAATTTTTCTTCAGATGATTCACAGCGTAAGCAGTATGAAGAATGGCTTCAGGAAACCCAACAGCTTCTTCAAATGCAGCAGAAATATCTTGAAGAACAAATTGGTGCACACAGAAAATCTAAGAAGGCCCTTTCAGCTAAACAGCGTACTGCCAAGAAAGCTGGGCGTGAATTTCCAGAAGAGGATGCAGAACAACTCAAGCATGTTACTGAACAGCAAAGTATGGTTCAGAAACAGCTAGAACAGGTAATTATAGGTTTGCTAAGTAGAAACCATTAAGACTGTTAATGAGTAGAATGTTTTGGTCATTCATTAATGTCATTCATTAATGATACAGGATTTTGATTAGTGTAAATGGTATATAAAAGTATACTGCCAAAAAGCAACAGCACTGAGATCTCTTAATAACTGAAGAAGTAACACCCCCAATCCTTTCCTTAGTGAGATGGTCACAGAGGATTATATACTTAATAAGTGCCACTGTAGGAATTAATTCTCACGATTCCTGAAAAATGAAACCATTTTGCTGTTATCTTCCATTGTAAACCAGATGTTTCTCAAAATGCTCAAACTGGACAATAATTATACTGAAAAAAAAGTAATATTTTAACATTTTATTTAAGATAAAACAATAATAGTGTTCAAAATGGGCCCAGAGCTAACTTCTAGGTATTTGCCCATGTGAATTAAAAACTTAGGTTCACACAAAAACCTGTACATGAATGTTTATAGCAGCTCTATTCATAGTCACCAAAAACTGGAATGGTGAATGGTTAAAAATAAAGCATGGTACATCCATACAGTGGAATGTTACATAGCAGTAACAGAGAATGAACTGTTGATTCATGAAACAGCTTGGATCTCAAGAGCATTATGCTGAGTAAAAGAAGCCAATCTCAAAAGGTTATATACTGATTGCATTTATATACACTCTTGAATTGAGAAAATTGTAAAGATGAACAGTAAATTAACGATGGCCAAAGATTAGGGAGTGGCGGGCAGGAAGTTTTGACTGCAAAGAGGGTGGCACGATGAGGGAGTTTTCAGGGGTTATGGACCTCCTCTGTCTTCAGTGAGGTGATGGCTACACGAGTCTCTACATGTGTTAAAGTTCATAGCATTGTACAACAAAAAAGTAAACTTTGCTTTTAATTGTCAGTTTTAATTTTTAAAATAAAATTAAGAAGAAATCCAAATGTTAATACCATAGAGGGGATGATTCAGAGTAGACTGGCACAGTAAAAACATGAGCACTCTGTGCAATGAATACTCGAGGAAGCACCTTCATATCCATTATCTCATCTAGCCTGTCGGTAACTTTCTGAAGGAGTGAGTGTTATCACCATTTTACAGATGAAGACACTGGGGAGTCGTTGTTGAGGTTAGGTGACATGTCTGCACATAGCTTCCTTGTGGTATTAGGGATTTGGTCTCAGATGTCTTCTCTTCAAGCCTCAGCTGCCACATTAATGTTCCAGCAGAAGGTGATTATAATATTATTCCTATTGTTTAAAACTAGGATAATTCCAGAATGAGAGCTTTCTATTCTCTTTAAATTCACTCTCTGGGTCCATGTTTATTCCAGGTGAGTATTCTTTTAAAAGTAGATATTTCTTATAAAGTATTTTTAGCACATTTATTGCCTTCTGGTGTATTTGTATGAGGTCTTTTGACCTTGCATATCCATGGATCAAATCCTGTTTACAAGCTAATACTTTTCTTGAAAAATGGGAGAAATCCTGTTACATAGTTGCTAGCAATCCAGTGTAATCTCATGAAGATGAGCAGTTGATGATAATGTTTTAAAGTGTTATAAAATGTTATAGGAAAGGCATGGATGACTATCTTGTACATCCCAGCCACTGTTGTAGGTGCTTTATGTACTTTATTCCTGCTTCACCAGTCCAAAGGTAATTTCTCAGTTCTATTCAGCAAACTGGCCAGGAAAGATACGAAAATAAAAAAGGAGTTGTACAGCTTCTGGAAAAGAACTACTAAAGAAGAAACCAACACCATTACTTGCAGAAAATATGTTAGTCTGCCTGAGAAACCCAAGAAAATAAGTGGAAAAATTATTACAACTACTGGGTTCAGTATGCTAGCATAATATTTATCTAAAAATTGAGTGATTCTCAAAGATATACATACGTCATTTTGCTTCCCTTTTTTCTCAGCTCACTGAATAAGATGGTGAGGTCTTCAAGAACATGTATCGCATCTTGATTGGCATTTGGTCTGTAGTGTCTGTCACACTGGGACTCAGAGGTTTTTGGAATGAATTTAGAGCCTATTTAGAAACTATTTAATATATTATCTCAGAGCCTGTATAGATTTCAAAAATTATAATTTGAGTATGTCACCCATTAAATTCAAAGAGTTTTAAAAATCTTTTTAGTTTCACAAATCTAGTCTTTTTAGCCCAGGAGTGGGGTGTGGTATATGTGCTGCTAATTCATTTTGTTATAAAATATTGTGTAATTTTATATAATTAAGGAATAAAATCTTAACGTGTTAATGGTTAAAGTTTGAGTTAAATCTCAGATACTCTAATCTTGTGTATTAATGTAACTTCTAAGGCATCACAATTAGCTGCTTCCTGTGTAGCCTTTGTTTATTGTTGTATCATATTGTCAATATGTAAATAGTACATGACTTTCACAGTAAGATTTTCTTAACATTCATTTTTTTTTTAATTTTTGAAATTTGTTTTTGGTATTTTATATGTGAGGAACTTTTACAGACAGCGTTCAAAAAATCTGATTGTTAAATAGTTAAGGCTTATCAATCTAATTTTTGTGGTTTTTGCCATTGCCTAAGGAAAATATTTTTGCCTCTACAAGGTCTAATTGCCTTCTGTATAACCCCTGCCAAAATCATAAGCCAGTGTTTTAAAAGTTAGATACCTGTGCTATATATAAGTGAGTAATGATTAATTTTATTATTCCAGATTCGTAAACAACAAAAAGAGCATGCCGAGTTGATTGAAGATTATCGGATCAAACAGCAACAACAGCAGCAGCAATGTGCAATGGCCCCACCTGCCGTAATGCCTGGCATACAGTCCCAGCCACCCCTAGTTCCAGGTGCCCCTCCACCCACCATGAGCCAACCCAGCTTTCCCATGGTGCCACAGCAGCTGCAGCACCAGCAGCACACAGCAGTCATTTCTGGCCACACCAGCCCTGCTAGAATGCCCAGTTTACCTGGATGGCAACCTACCAATGCTCCTGCTCACCTCCCCCTCAATCCTCCTAGGATTCAGCCCCCAATTGCCCAGTTACCAATAAAAACTTGCACACCAGCCCCAGGGACAGTGTCAAATGCAAATCCACAGAGTGGACCATCACCTCGGGTAGAATTTGATGACAACAACCCCTTTAGTGAAAGTTTTCAAGAACGGGAGCGGAAGGAACGTTTACGAGAACAGCAAGAAAGACAACGAATCCAACTCATGCAAGAAGTAGACAGACAAAGAGCTTTGCAGCAGAGGATGGAAATGGAGCAGCATGGCATGATGGGCTCAGAGCTAAGTGGTAGGACATCTGCGCCCCAGATTCCATTCTACAGCTCTGACCTACCTTGTGATTTTATGCAACCTTCAAGACCCCTTCAGCAGTCTCCACAACACCAGCAGCAAATGGGGCAGGTTTTACAGCAGCAGAATGTCCAGCAAGGCTCTATTAATTCACCCCCCACCCAAACTTTCATGCAAACCAATGAGCGAAGGCAGGTAGGACCTCCCTCATTTGTTCCTGATTCGCCATCAATTCCTGGTGGAAGCCCCAATTTCCATTCTGTTAAGCAGGGACATGGAAGTCTTTCTGGGACCAGCTTCCAGCAGTCACCAGCAAGGCCTCCTTTTACACCTGCTTTACCTGCAGCACCGCCAGTAGCCACCAACAGTCTCCCATGTGGCCAAGACCCTGCTGTGACCCATGGACAAAGTTATCCGGGATCAACCCAGTCTCTCATTCAGTTGTACTCTGATATAATCCCAGAAGAAAAAGGGAAAAAGAAAAGAACAAGAAAAAAGAAAAAAGATGATGATGCAGAATCCACCAAGGCACCCTCAACTCCGCATTCAGATATAACTGCTCCCCCAACTCCAAGCATCTCAGAAACTACCTCCACTCCTGCAGTGAGCACACCCAGTGCGCTTCCTCAGCAAGTAGAACAAGAGTCAGTGCAAGCAGTCGGCCCCTTGGCTCCCAGTGTTGCCGCAGGCCAGCTGTGCACAGAATCAGAAAACAAGCTGCCCAACAGTGATTTCTCACAAAGAACTCCAAATCAGCAGACTTACACAAGCTCAGAGGTGGGTAAGCAATCCACGGAAACCCCTTCTGGAGTCGAAGAGGTAAAGCTGGAGAAGGCTGAGATGGAGCCACACCCAAGCCAAGAGCAGCCTAAGTTGGAGGAACAAACTAGTAGTAAGGTGCAGGAAAATGCAGTTGGTCCTGTCTCAGCACAGAGTCCTCCCCGTTCTGTCGGGGCCTCTGGTGTCAAAGGAGATTCAGGGAATGAACTTCTGAAGCACTTGCTGAAAAATAAAAAGTCATCTTCCCTTGTAAATCAAAAACCTGAAGGCAGTTTTTGTTCAGAAGATGACTGTAGAAAGGATAAAGTAGTTGAGAAGCAGAACCCAGCTGAAGGATTGGTAAGTGTGAGCCATGAAAACTACAACTTACTTTTTACTTTTGTCTTAAATTATATTGATAGCAGATTAGTACCAATAGCTATATTAATTTCAACACTATTTTACAACCTTTTTACTGTAAAGGACCATTTTTTGTTTCTACCTCCATAGAACCCACATTTTCACTTACATGCACAAACTATACTGAGTAATAATTTGTTTACTGTTTTTTTAAAAAGCAAAGGCATATGTTGCATTTCAGGTTACCTAGTACCTATCAGCAGGTCATTACCACACCAAGTTGATCTATCTAGAACAAAGGTAGTAAATGTCTGTGTACTTTGTTGTAAATAAGTGCATAATTTCTTTTAATCTCTTTGAAATATAGAAGATAGCTCATGCACTGCTGTTAATATCCCTGGGGACTCCCAGGGATAATCCATAGTGGGAATCCATTGTGTTACAATGTATTAAAACTTAATATTATACAAATGTAATCTTAACATGTAGATACTATTTTCATCTTTGTAGTTTTCCATGTATCAATATTCTTCCCATTTTAGATTATTAACATTAGATTTGCTTTTTTTTTTTTTAATTTGCATGAAGAGCTTAACTGTATATATGTTTACAAGAATCCTTCCCCCTCATTTCTAGGGGTTTCTAGGTCATGGGTATTTGTCTTCTTGATAGTTCTTGCCTCCTTGTCTTTCAGAGGTTCTGTGTCATTACTAGTGCATTCCTTGAAGTACTTCTCAAATTAAATTTTATCATTTTCATATTTTGATTGAATAGGGGTTGAGTTGCGTATTTAGTTGTCCAAATTTGCGATGTTAGGATTAATCTTTTGGCAAGTATGGTCTTAGTCTTTGTTTTCTCTTATTTGTCTTTGACTATTCAGTAGAGATTGAGTGTTGGCCCAATAGAGTCATATAATTTTTTTTTTTTTTTGTCTTTTTCTGTGACCGGTAAGGGGATCGCAACCCTTGGCTTGGTGTCGCCCGCACCACGCTCAGCCAGTGAGTGCACTGGCCACCCCTATATAGGACCCGAACGGGCGGGAGCGCTGCTGCGCTCCCAGCGCTGCACTCTGCTGAGTGCGCCACGGGGCCGGCCCTAGAGTCATGTAATTTTTGTAAATTTTCATGGTTATGTTTTTCCAGTCATACTTGTCACCAGCAAATCTGCCTAACTGTCCAGCCCTATCTCTAGCCACTTTCTCTGAGGCATCTTATGCCCTTAGGAATGCTGAATGACTCACAACCCCTAGCTGTCTTTCTGTTTTCACCATCTATGTATATGCCTCTCTACTGCCGTTTCTGCCAGCTCTGCCTTCTTTTCTGTATCTGGCCAATATCTTTTTATCTTTTAAAACTCAGTTCTGGAACCCTCTTTTGCAGATACCTTTCTGAGGTCAGCCAGTATCAAATGTGTGTTGATGCCATGTGCTCACATACCTGTTTTTGTAGTACCATTTAACATGACTTAAATAGCTCCTTTGAGGGCACAGGGTACATCTTGAGCAATTTTATATTAAAATTTGTGTTGTGTAAGAATGGTTAATGTCATGGGCAACAACCACGTGTTAAGTTTAAAAAGCAACCACCAAAATTAAAGAATACAAGGTGTGATCCATTGTGACTTAAAAAAAATTATATATATATATATATTTAGGATAGATAAATGATTGAAAACAGACACATTAAAATGTTGATTGTTTTTATCAGGCAGATTTTTAATCTGTGCTCTTGTGTAATTAAGTTGTCTTGTAAGGGTAGTTTGTCTGCTTTTTAGGACAGTTGTGAGGATTAGAGATAATGTCTGTAAAGCACTTAAAGTGCTAGACCTACATACATACTTAATATGCAGTTGTATCATTAGTCTCTTATAAGCCAGTTAAGAAAGTCTTAGGCCCTTGCTACTTAAAGTGCAGTCCCTGGGGATGGAAGCATTCACATCCCTGGGGAGCTTTTTAAGAAATGCCAACTCTAATACGGGCCTACCAAATCAGAATGTGTGGTTTAACCAGGTGCCCCATTTGATTGACAGGAAGTGGAGAAGCACTGCCCTAGGCCCATGGTTCTCAAAACTTCCTGGAGGGCTTGTTAAAACACTGATTGCTGGCTGATTCAGTAGGTCTGGGTTGGAGCAGATAATTTGCATTTCTAACCAGTCCTAGGTGGTGTGGCTGTTGCTGCCACTGCCCCGGGAACTACCCTTTGAGAACCACTGGAAGCAGTCTAGCCTGCTTCCACCTCTTCCCTTCTTTGTATGAGCTAAGAATGGTTTTTACATTTTTAAATGGTTGGGAAAAGATCTAAGGAAGAGTAATATTTTGCCACATGTGAAAATTATAATAAAATTCAGTTTTTCCCATGAATTTAAGAAGTTTTATTGGAACATTGTTAAGTGCATTTGCTTATGAATTGTCTATGGCTACTTTTGCAGAAAAAGGGCAGAGTTGAGTAATTATGACAGAGGCATATGGCCCACACCTAAAATAATTACCATTGGGCCCTTTACATAAAAATTTTGCCATCCGTGCTGTAAGACATTTAGAATATAACTGGAAACTATAGTTTTCAAAGTCCTCAAAGATTCAATGCAGAATTCATTACAGGAAGTTCAGCAACTGTAATTGTCTATAACAAAGTAGTCGTGCACTGCTTAACAATGTTTTGGTCAGCAACAGACCACATGTGGGATGATGGTCTTATAAGGTTAGAATGGAGCTGAAAAATTCCTGTTGCTTCCTGATGTCAGAGCCATTTTAACATCATAGTGTAACACATTACTCACGTTTTTGTGGTGATGCTGGTGTAAACAAACCTTCTGTAAAATACCTCGAGGAGGAGTGTCTGGTTTATCCACGGGTGAGCCTCCCAAAGGTAGCTCAGAACTTTAATATAGAAAGCCAAGCTATCTGACACATTAGGTCTGACCCCAAGTCTACTTTAGAGTTCTTGCATTTTTAAATGATTCCCACCCACCCATCGTCATAGCAAAATAATAGTTAATAACAGCTAATACTCACTGAGTTCTTGCTGGGTGTCAGGCACAATTCCTACCAGTGATTTGATGTTCATAACTTTGTAGGGGTGGTATTATTCTAAACCAAATTTAACAGATGAGGAAAGTGAAACACAGAGAGACTTAGTAACATAGTAGAGGGCCACTCTCATGCAACTAGGGGGTGTTGTAGATAATAGGAAAATCCATTCTGTTCCCTTTCATAAAGCACTTTCACACAATAATGAAATCACCGCATTTAGTATTCCCACTGATAAGCAACTCATCACTGTATTGATATTAAAAGATTCCTATATTTTTAAGTATTGATAGCACTACCCTTAAAAGCCTACTTATTCTTGACCTTAAAGACAAACATTTCTATCATGTAGGTCCTCTCCCATTGGTTTTAAGTATATAGCCATTATTTTTCAGTCAAATGTTTGATTGTGAGCTCATTTGAAGGACCATGTTGTTTCTCCTTATTGCTTTCTGGGGCTAGCTGTTCTCTCATCTAAGATGCATAGGCTATAAAGTTTTTCTGGAGTCTGTGAATTGTTTCAGCTGACCTCACATTTCACTAGTTCCTAAGGGGGACCAAAAATAACTCACCAAGACCACTATGCAGAGGCTGCCCCAGCCATAGGACTGAGAGCGCCCTCTTCCCTGCTGCCTGTGAGCAGGGACCAGGGGCTTCCCGCCCCAGCGTGGTCAGATGGCGGTGATGCGTCCTCAGGAGGAGAAAAGGCCAGACTTACAAGTTCTGCTCTCTCCTCAAGCTATGTCGATTTCCATACTTGAGAATAATGTTTGAAAAAAAGGATGGTGTTTTCAGGAAGCAGCATTTGGCACCACTGTCTGTCTTCCCTCCATAACTTTTAGTGCCCATGTTAGAAATATGAGTCATAGGAGGGCACTGGATTAGCATGCACTAAAAATAAAACGCGTGAATAGTTCACTTATTTCTCAACCTTTCCAATTACATTAGCAAACTTTGGGGGCTCAAATGCAAGGTGGTTTTGGATGTGGCAACAACCAGTTGCCAAAAACAGATGGAGGAAGCGAAACCAAGAAACAGCGAAGCAAACGGACTCAGAGGACTGGGGAGAAAGCAGCAACTCGCTCCAAGAAAAGGAAAAAAGAGGAGGACGGGAAACAAACTATGTACTCTAACACTGACACGTTAACCCATTGGAAACAGGTGAGTCCTTCGTAGCAGTCCCTTTAAAAATTCAAGGACAGGAGAGATGAAATGCCTTTTCAACCATATTCAACTGAAACTATCTCTTTATTGTGATAATTTCCTAATTAGAGTTGAGTTACAGGGATAAAGACATCTCAGTGAGGAACCTAGTAGACTTCCTATTTCCTTATCCTATTGGAACCTGAAATTTACAGTAGTATAAATGGATGGATAGGTAGGTGATGGTCAAGATTTACTTTTGTTCAAAAGGAGCAACCTCATTACTGAGAAAAACTCTGTCCTCATTACTTGTGACTCTGGATCCCCCAAAACTGCAGCTGCTGGACTCTCCCCATCGTAAACTGTGTTCTCACACCTTTGTAGTTGTTATGGAGGGTGGAAAATACCCACTGATAGTGCCACTGGTGGTACCTAGCCTCCATTCGTGCCCTGATTCTTGCTGAGCAAAGACGAGAAATGTGTTTTTCTTACTAGATGCCTGGAGGCATCCTTTTAGAAAAAGAGGAACAGAGCTTACTTTTACGCGTCTCTCAAAGACTGTAGTCTCCCTCATTAATCCAGCATTTTGATACTTGAAATTTTGGCCTCATTTTTCTCAAGCCTCATTTAACTAAGTTGCTTCAGGTCTTAGAAAGTTGAGAAGCATACAGTTCCAGTTGCTTACCGTGTACATCACTCTCAAATGTGTTTTTTAATAGCAGCTCTCTCTGCTCCCTCTCATGGAACCCATCATTGGGGTGAACTTTGCGCACTTTCTTCCTTACGGCAGCGGCCAATTGAATAGTGGGAATCGGCTTCTAGGAGCTTTCGGCAGCGCTGCCCTTGAAGGGGTCTCGGACTACTATTCTCAGTTGATCTACAAGGTACGTGTCTGTGCCGAGGGGCCACCTTGCTTCATCATCAGATACCGTGTCAGAGTTGGTAGAGCTTGTCTTGGTTTTGCACTTAGTTTACATCTAATCTTCAAAGTTTTATTAAAACTTAAGATGAACTGAAATGTTAGAATTTTACCTGGTGAAGTGTTTCGAAGATGAACATTTGAAATTTTTGTATAGATAATAATACAAATTGTGAGAGATACCCTTTATGTATTTCCATGGTAGAAGACATACTTATGTCCATATAACCTTGGTTAACTTTTAAAATGAATTCAAACTCATACTAAATAGTGGGAATGAAAAAATGTGGTTAAGGTTTTACCTGGAAATATGAAATTAAAAAGTTTTTACATATATTTTACCTAATAATTTAGGTACTAATTGCAACTAGGCACTAATTCTTAGATGATTAAAATAATATTAAACCTAATCAAGTTTATCTTTTGCTATTACTATTCTAACAAAGTTTTATGATAGTATCATATGACATCTCCTAATCAAGTTTATCTTTTGCTATTACTATTCTAACAAAGTTTTATGATAGTATCATATGACATCTCCTAATCAAGTTTATCTTTTGCTATTACTATTCTAACAAAGTTTTATGATAGTATCATATGACATCTCCTAATCAAGTTTATCTTTTGCTATTACTATTCTAACAAAGTTTTATGATAGTATCATATGACATCTCCTAATCAAGTTTATCTTTTGCTATTACTATTCTAACAAAGTTTTATGATAGTATCATATGACATCTCCTAATCAAGTTTATCTTTTGCTATTACTATTCTAACAAAGTTTTATGATAGTATCATATGACATCTTCAGTTCACATGACTTACATAAAAAATTGATTTTGCAAAAACATTTGAAAGTATCAGTTTTCTGGAAGCTTCTTTTCTGACTTTAATATTAAAATAATGCTTTTGATGCTCCATTTATTGTCCTTGTTGGCTTTTCTCTTCAGTTAGAACCTGTTCTGACTCTTTTAAATGCCTTTTCTTCTGGTGCAAACTAATCTCCAGCATCACTTCATCATCTCCATGAAATCCTATATCTTTGCAAGATTTGTAATTTCACCCTGCACTTGATTTGCATGGTGTTATTGGTTGATTTCAACAGTCCTTGAGAGGCTAATCAATAAATGACAAATTGGTGACGAGTGTTAAGCTGGGTGAGATGTTGGAAGAGGAACTACATTTTTTAATGATTTGGTATTATTGCTACTGCTTTTGCTTCTTTTAGAGGTGTTAGACAATCCAGATTCCAGTATCTGGGATGTGAGTTGCAATTATAGGTTCAGGACCAGAAATTCTTAAATTGTTCATAGAATTAGGGGATATCTTAATGAGAATTTAATAAAGGAATTTTTGATAACTTTTTATAATTTATTGATTGAATTTTAAGGCTATCATTCACTGGCTATAACCATGAAACTTGAAAAGAGTTGCATAAAATAGAATCAGGCATTATGGAAATTTGCTTCTTATTTCAAAGCTAAGTATTCAAGCTGGATAAAGTAAGCAAGTGGATGATAGTATGTCCATAAGATTATGAGTGTTTGTTCCACTAAAAAGCCTCCTGGCCTTGCATGCATATTTTTCTTCTTGGTATGTGTTTGGGAATGAAGGTTCATCTTGATTACATTTCTGTAGCTTGGCTTCCATCTGCTAAAAATTCTCAGAACTAAGTTTTAGCAAGGTCAATGCATATTTGCTCAGTAGCATATAATTTAAAATTTTTTGGTCTCCTGCAGCAGAATAATTTAAGTAATCCTCCAACACCCCCTGCCTCTCTTCCTCCTACACCACCTCCTATGACTTGTCAGAAGATGGCAAATGGTTTTGCGACAACTGAAGAACTTGCTGGAAAAGCTGGAGTGTTAGTGAGCCATGAAGGTAAGATTGCAGCCTCCAAATCTCACTCCTCTGAGAAGTATGCCTTTGCCAGCAGAATATGGCAAAGTGGCCATAGAATTGTAAAGTTCCACTCATTTATCAATTTTAACTAAGTGTATTTCTGGTTTTGTGTATGCGTTTTTCCAGTTACCAAAACTCTAGGACCTAAACCATTTCAGCTGCCATTCAGACCACAGGATGACTTGTTAGCCAGAGCCATTGCTCAGGGTCCAAAGACAGTTGATGTTCCAGCTTCACTTCCAACACCACCTCATAACAATCAGGAAGAATTAAGGTAGAAGTTCCTTTTTTCTCAAATAATTTTTATTTATTTCTTTATGTATGTAATTAACATGTCTGTAGGAAGAGCATGGAAAAACGTTTGAGGGATAAAATTTGCTGAATAATATTCTTCAGAATTTTTAAGTTTATAAGACATTGTTACTATTAAATATAATTAGTTTTTACATTCTTATATAGGGAGTTCAACAAATGATAATAATCAGATTGACATTAGGCAATGGAAAGTCTCCATGCAAAGTATTGCAAAGATCATTGTCCTTTATAAGTTATTAATGTGTTTATTGACCTTGTAGATGTCTAAAATAGTCTAAATAATTAAATAGTCACAGAGAATGCCATAGTAGAAGAGGTAAAGGACTGTCCCGTCTGAAGTTTTGTAACCTCTTTGTGTCAGTTCTTTAGCCCCAGGATTCTAATTTGGGTTCCCTCACTACATGATCACTACCTAAGTAGTTGGATCCAGGGAGTTCTTACATCCTGCATGAAATTATCATCTCTTCCTTGGAAAATCTGTGAACTACCCTCCATGTGATGAGACATACATTTAATCTAAGTCCCTTATCTTATTACTGAGGAAACTATGGACTGAAAAGGAGAGTGACTTGTACAGAGTTAGAATCCAGGTCTCACTACTGGAAATTCCCATATTTATTAATAGAGAGCAGCGTACCCTTTCAACAGCTTTTGGAAGCGGCTTCCTAGGTGTCCATGTTTGGTGACTTAGGGCAGGTATCTGCTACACTTCTGGGTTTCACAGAGCTCTGTCTGGAAGCCTGTCTTGGTCTCCCGCAGCAGGACAGCATCTTCTGTGCGCGAGCAGTGGGAGATGACAGATTCGCCGAGGCTCTACGACTCTTAGCCTGAGATCTCACCATTGCCCTCGACAGAAAGGACCAGCCTCTTCCTTTTTTCACCTTACTTTATCAGTTAAGAAAAATAAGGCCTCTGAAGCCATAATGACCAAGTTTTCTCCCATCTTGCTACTACAGACAGTAGCAGCAGTCAGTTGCGTGCAGGTGTGGCCACTGGATGTGTTTGGACTGCTCTTTCCTATTCAAGCTACAGGAGAGTTCCTGTAAGTCTCAGTGATCTGGAACTGCACACAGGTGTCAGTACTCATTGTTTCCATGTTATGTTACAATGTGGACATTGCCCTCTTTGGCAGGGCTTTAAACTTTGATGCTGAAGCTTTAGTCATAAGGAAGTACACCATTTAACTATTTGATAGCTAATCATATGTCTTACATTTTTCCCAAGAGGTTCCCTGTTTGGCCCTGAATGGATTCGTTTACCCCACACATTGCTGCTATTGCCCAGAGTATCTTTACCATCGTGCTGGCAGACACAGTTGGGTTGGTGCAGGAAGCCTCAGTGGTGGGTTTCCATGCTTCGACATGTGTGTTTATTCTTCTTTCAGGATGCAGGATCACTGTGGAGATCGGGATACTCCTGACAGTTTTGTTCCCTCGTCCTCTCCTGAGAGTGTGGTTGGGGTGGAGGTGAGCAGGTATCCAGATCTGTCACTGGTCAAAGAGGAGCCTCCGGAGCCGGTGCCTTCCCCCATCATTCCAATTCTTCCTAGCACTGCCGGGAAAAGTAAGGAAAATACTTAGCCTTATTATTTCTCTTTGTAATATGCCATTGCACTACTATAAATGTTTTGATTTTGAAAAGCCAGTAACACTCCTTTTTTCTTTTTAAGGTTCAGAATCAAGAAGGAATGATGTCAAAACTGAGCCAGGCACTTTATATTTTACATCACCTTTTGGTTCATCCCCAAATGGTCCCAGATCAGGTCTTATATCTGTAGCAATCACCCTGCACCCTACAGCTGCTGAGGTAAAAAATGAAATGAATTCTTAATGTTATAGAGCACGTCCCTGTTTTTAAAGATGTGTTAGGTTGCTTACAGTGAAACACACACAGCAAAATCATGAATGATAAAAGATCAAACTTGAGGGTAGGATTGGTAGTCGTTTCAAGCACCTGGGCTGCTTGTGAGTACTGTAATGGAGATTAAATTGGTCTCAGCCTAAGTCAAGGCAAAAAGGGAAGCTAGGGTTCACATTTTCTTAATAAAGGATGTATACTTTAAAGAATTCTTTAGATAGAAACCTTTTTGTAACTGTTAATGCTGTAGAAAATTAAGCAATGAAAAAGAACTTTATCAACAATAAAAGTTTCACAGAAGCAATTTGTATACTTTAAAGAATTCTTTAGATAGAAACCTTTTTGTAACTGTTAACGCTGTAGAAAATTAAGCAATGAAAAAGAACTTTATCAACAATAAAAGTTTCACAGAAGCAATAGAAATGTTCTTTAGGTAGCAGCTACTTATGTCAAATGCTAGCAATTTGCTGAGGATTTTTTATTTTTTTTAACTCTGAATTCTATGAAGACATTTTATTGGAGACCAAACTAGTAGTCTAGTGACGTGACATTTTGGTTGTCAGCAGAATACAGTGGTCATGTGACATTTGTATGTTCTTGTAGACAGTTTCAGACTTTTGGCCAGAGCTGTTTAGAATCCTCCTGAAGGCTTCTGACCTACTGTGAAAACTGACATGGTTGGCTCATCCCTCACTGTTGCATTCTTTTCGCCCATCGGATATCAAGATAACTAGAATAGTTTAATGTGTTCCCAACTATTTAATGTTAATTGGAATACCTTTATGAAGATTGCTGTTTACGAAAGCTTTATTTGGATATTGGTCCATTAAAACAATTTTTTTTTTTTCTCACTGAGACTCTTCAAGACTTAAGTAAAAGTTGTTGGGTTTTCTTGCAATGCATATGCTATGCAGATAGCATGTATCCTAAGTATGTATTTTTCTTGAGTGGTTCACTGTTGCCTTCTGGGTGGGTAACACAGTGTTTGCACTTTGTTTTAGAACATTAGCAGTGTTGTCGCTGCATTTTCCAACCTTCTTCACGTCCGAATTCCTAACAGCTATGAGGTTAGTAATGCTCCAGAGGTTCCATCTGTGGGTTTGGTCAGTAGCCACAGAGTAAACCCAGGTTTGGACTGTCGACAGCCTTTACTTCTTCGTGGGCCTCCGCCAGGATCTGCAAACCCTCCCAGATTGGCAAGCTCTTACCGGCTGAAGCAGCCTAACGTGCCATTTTCTCCAGCAAGCAATGGTGAGCCAGTGGGCTTTTTGTTAACTCCAAATACATTCTTTTTTTTTTTTTTCCTTTTTGTCTTTTTTACTGACTGGTAACGGGATCGCAACCCCAAGCTCTTACCGGCTGAAGCAGCCTAACGTGCCATTTTCTCCAGCAAGCAATGGTGAGCCAGTGGGCTTTTTGTTAACTCCAAATCCATTCTTTTTTTTTTTTTTCCTTTTTGTCTTTTTTACTGACCGGTAACGGGATCGCAACCCTCGGTGTTGCGCCCGCACCGTGCTCAGCCAGTGAGCGGGAACCGGTCTCCACATGGGATCCGAACCCTCGGCGGGAG